AACCGATTTTGCTATCTTGTTGATTCATCCCCTTCATAAGTTTGAGAAGACGAGATCCTATGTGTTGAGTGTGGTAGCCACGTTATTGAGACAAGCGGGATACAAACCAAAGCAGCAGCCACAAACAAAGACAGAGGAATCCAAGAATAATGAACCGGAAGAATCCAAGAATAATGAACCGGATAACAAGGCACAAGCTGAAGAGCCCCAAAATGAACCATCCAAAGATGATGACGCTGAGAGGCGCCCAATTTGCTTGTGTGTCCTATTCAACTTTCGCGATTTTGGACAACCGCAAGAACAAAGGGCAGAAATACAAGACAATATTAAGAAACTGATTCGTACTCTGATTCAAGATCATTTCGAAGTCCCCGCTTCGATGGTCGCTCTGCAGTTTGCAGAAACCTGTTTGAGGAATTGCTACGGTCTCAACGTGCTTCATCACTTTATCTACAGAACCTATCTCTTACGCAAAGAGATTGATTTGCAACGTCAACTGAAACAAGTTCAACAACAGGCAACCAAAACGGAAGATCACCCAGTCATGTCATATGATGAATTCGTCCAAGTGTTGGAAGAAGAAGAAAGACAAGAGGAACAAGAGCAAGCCGAACGGCTAGCACGACAAGAGCAAGCACCACTAGAACCGCAGACTGATCTTGTAGCCGAAGCAGCACAGCTGAGGCAACAAATGTTACTTCAACAACAGCAACTACAGCAGACGCAAACAAAACAGCAATCCAGATCAGCATCAAGAATGGAAACCAAATCCAAATCCAAACCAACACCACATACTACACCACAAACAAAACAGCAACCCAAAGCAGGAGCATCTGATCTCACTCCTATCCGTCGAAACGTAATGTTTCAGAAATTACCACCTCAATTCCCATCTGGTATGGGCAAGGACGCTTTGGAAGCTTTCTTGGCCGACAGTAGTGACGAGGAAGAACCACAACGAGCACCCCAACAAAAAGTCAAAAAGCCAAAGTCCAATGCAGTCTTTGATTCTTCGGATGATGACGACGACGACGACGACGATTTCTTTTACGACGAAAAAGGCAATCGAAAGGTCAACCATCCATCACACCATATTCTTCGTGCCAATCCGACATCTACCAAAAGTACTACAGCTTCTGTTCCTCCCGCAGCAGCAGCAGCTTCTCGCAAAGAAATCCCATCTCCTCCGAAACCAATTCCATCCAAGCCTATGGAACCGAAGAGTACCACACCAATGGTGGACGAGAAGAAGGAAGGTGTGGAAGTTCCAAAGGAAATGAAGTCGCCGAAAGCTCCCAATGCCGCAGCACACGATGACAACGACCATGATGGTTCCCAAGCGGAAATATCATCACCAAAGGAAGTTTCAGCACAGGAAACAAAGCAGAACAAAGAAGAAAGCAGTCATACCAGCGCAAACGATGCTGATGCGCCTGCTTCACCAGCTCCCAATGTTACGTCAAAGGTAGCAGCAGATGATGATGGCTGGAGTGACGACGACGATGATGATTATGTAATTGAGACTACCCCCGTGCTCGACTCTGACGAGGAAGACGACGGAGATACACCAAGGACTCCCGCACCGCAACAAGCTGGAAGGAGCGACAAGATTCCAAAAGCCACTCCGGCGTCTCCAATGCAAGAGGAAGATGACGACAATGAAGAGTCTTCCGACTTTGTCGTTGCCCAAGGCACCAGTGCTGTCATTACATCGGCCTCGGACGATGATAGTTGGGGAGATGATGATGGCGACGGTGATAATGGCAGCTATCAGCCCATTTCCTCCACACCTGCGGCCCCAGCGGCACCTTCTCCTACGGGTGGTGGATTGAGTGCTGCAGCCATGGCCGCCATTGCCGCCGCTCAAAGGGAGGCCGAAGCCATGTTGCACCAACAAGCAGCCCCTTCCACTGTCATACCAGAACGCAAGAAGAAAAAGAAGGACAAGTCCGAAAAGAAGGAGAAGAAGAAAAAGTCCAAGAAGAAAAATAAAGAATGAAATATGAATGATACCCATAGAAATTCATTTGTTTATATTACCATCATATTATTGCGTTTGTGTTCGTGTGTCCAATGTCACAGATCTAAGATGTCAATCTCTCTAGAACCGCAGCGACCTCTTCGGCATCGGCAATGTGGAATCCCTTGTCAGGAGTAACTCTTGCCAATTCAATATTATCTGTGGAAATCTTCTCTTCCATCACTTGCTTTAGCGTACTCAAAGCCAATTCTTCCGCTTCTTTTAGCGTCATGCTTTCTGAGTAGGATTCTTCCAAGTTGGATTGGGCTCCCTCAGATCCAGCACCAATGGCCTTGGCCTTGTATCGGACAAAGGTACCAGAAGGATCCGAAAAGTAAAGTTGGGATCCCAACATTTCATCGTAACCCGCCAACAAGAGGGCGACACCAAAGGGTCGGGACATGCGCTTGGAAGAGTCACCGTCACTGCCTTCTCCGAAACTCAAGGCCAAATCACATACGGCTGTAGTAGTAGAACAATAGAAAGAAGTGGCGTGTGAGTATAGTGAGTATAGACGTATACATATCCACTGCTTGATGTCAATGGTTGGAAGCAGCATCCCAAACACTATTATTCCATACCTTGTGTCAAGGGCTCGACTCCAATGGGCTCATCATAGGTAAATCGGTGATTTTGTGCTTCCACACGAGCATGATCCACCAAAGTACGAGCATCGGCTACCAATCCACTCATGGCAGCTCCAATGTGAGTGTCCACTTCGGCAATCTTTTCCACCGAGTTTGGATCTAGGAGGGGGGACGAGAGACGCTTTTCGACGGCCAAGACGGAGCCTTCCTTGGTTTGCAAGCCAACGGCAGTGGAACCTAGTTTGATGGCTTCAATGGCGTATTCAACCTAGAATTGGTAGCAAAGAAGGGAGAGAAGAAAGAGGAGTATTGAGTTAGCATTTTCGATTTGGAGCGACACTTGCAAATCCATGGTGCACGAATCATGCTTACTTGGAAGAGACGGCCTTCGGGGGAGAAGGTGTTAACACCACGGTCATATTCTGATCTTGTCAAGTACATTGTATCTGTGAAATATCTGCTTTTGAAGGAGCTTGATTTGGTTAGCAAGATTATCCTTGTCCTTGTCTTGGTCGGATGGGTTGCGGCTTGAGGAACCTCAAAGAGTGTTGGGGAAATATTTGGTCGAAGGGGTCAAATTCGAAGGGTCAGGGTCTCAGTCTGTCCTTCCGACCCGTCCTTTCAACATGCCAACAACCAACTGAACCCCCGTTGAGCTGTTGACTGTTGATACCATCAATAGAGAGGAGATCTTTTTGGAACATTATTATAGGACCATGGCAGGAGAGATTGCTACACCCAACAACACCTTGTATGTGTCAAATATTGACTGGAAGATCAAGAAGGCCCTGCTTCGAAGGGCCCTACATACTCTTTTCACAAGACATGGCAAGGTAACGATAAACAGTGACGCCGTTTTTGCGGGATGATGGTCAATCTCTTTCTTCTTCATTAACCCGTCGTTTTCTTCTTTCTTTGTTTCGAAACTTTCTTTTCAACTCTATTGCGATCCGCCGTCTCTTTTTCATTATGCTCGTTTCAAACATCATATCTCCTTCCATTCCGAATTTACTGTGTTTGTGTAGGTGCTAGAAATCATTACCCTCCGACGGGATGGTTTGCGAGGACAAGCCTGGGTCATTTTTGAAGACGTCAAGGCTGCCACGGCTGCCTTGCATCACGAACAAGGCTTTTCGTTCTTTGAAAAAGATTTACGGTTAGCCTATGCGAAATCCAAGTCGGACCGAATTGCCAAGCGGGATGGAACCTACGTCCCCAAGGCCAAGCGCCAAAAGGCGGACGCTGCTGTTGGTGCATCCGATGAAACGGCGGCACCTCCTCCACCATCACAGGAACAACAAGTACCACCTGCACCGGCAGACGATGAAGGACAAGATGACGAGGTCAAGGCACCACCCTCGCATATATTATTTGCCAAGGACTTGCCATCTCAGTGTAATGAAATGATGTTGGGCATGCTCTTTCGGCAATATACTGGCTATAAGGAAGTGCGTATTCCAAGAGTGGGTTTGGCCTTTGTGGAATTTGATAGTGAACCTCATGCCACTTTGGCCATGGAGCGGTTGGATGGTTTCAAGTTGACCACAAATGATACTTTGAAACTAAACTACGGGAAAGCATAAACCAACAATAGCATGCGAAGAATTCTGTTTATCTTTTATCTTTTTCCTGTAGCACTTTTTAGAACTTCTATCAATGCTATATAACGAGACCGAAATAATAATAAATATACACTACTGTATTTAGTTTCATGATACTATACTGTACCATTCCGCCCTTCTACTGGCACTGCTGAATTACGGCGCTGTTTCCCCACCAGCATTACAAGCACCAAACTTTCCCGGCAGCTTCTTGCCCGTAATTTTCTGCAAACGCAAACTCACTTGACAGGAGAGCGCCTTGGGACCATTGATATTATAGGGACATGTGGGAACATTTGAAAAATCCGAGTCGTCAAAGGCTGCGGATCCACCCAATCGGAGTCCGACTTGCACAATGATCCCCATGAGACCCAAAAAGGACAACAACGTTGGTTCGGTAATGTAGAATCCCATGGTGCCAAAGAATAGAATCAAAGACCCTCGAATGACTGTCATTCCAATGGCCAATGATTGTTGGTAGTTGTTACCCCGGCTTTCGGAACATCTCTTCATGTTGAATGCAATTCCCTTGTGTGCCACCAACATGACATCGAGGCACAACCAAACCAGAGCCATGCTGATGCAAAAGTAATGGGCCACATGCTGTTGACGCACTTCCGCATCGTCAATGGGAGGCCCACTGGCAGCGAGGTAACGGTGGAGCTCAGCGTCTTGGGCAATCTCCTGTGCGGAATACCCCGCATCTTGGAGCAATCGACGAGCCTCTCCAGCATCTTGCGCAAAGACAAATTCAAACAAGATCATCTTGTAGGATGTCCCAAGGACAATCAAAGCGGCCGAATACAATTGTCCAAAAAGGATAAAGATGACACCGCCCCTTCGACTCCGACGCAGCGCATGACCATCCGCCTCGTGCGGTTGGGATTGAAAATGGAGGACCTCCAAAATGGTAATGGACAAAATACCGCAAAAAAATGCCTTGTAGTAATCTCCTTGTTGGGTAGGGACAATCAACAAGGACAAAATAGATTCTCCCAACATGAGCATGATCCATTCTCCATAGCGATGAATGAAGAATCCAATGTTCATTGGGACAGCCGATCTGGGCGATGGAAACGAAACGAAACGAAAAAGGTTGATGTGTCAGTTCCATTGCCAACAAGAATAGTTTGCAAGATGATTTTGCAAAGTTGCTTACAGTTTGGGATCAAAGTTCTTGTCAAATTCGCTTCGAAAGGTCAAAAATATAATCCCAAGAGTGTACATATTGGCACCCACCAATAGTAGAATTACAGGGAGATGGTTTGCATCCCCATAGTCACCACCACTAGCCAGGAATCGGCGTGTTCCTTCTGTGCTGTTGGTCGTCATGTCACCATTTGTGCTGTTGGTGTCAGGGTGAAAAAAACCGCTGGCATAGTAGTCATTAGCACCAAAATAATCAATGGCACTCAAAACGGTCGCTGCCAGATAAAACACAAACATGCTTGCAAATATCTTGATTTCAGTCTTTCCTTGTCGCTTGGCAGCAGGTTCTCCATCCACATTGCGAATGACATCCACGCTTCGTCCCATGGCGAGAAGAGACGAAATGGAAATGCAGACACTAAACACAAACATGTCTTCATTTGTAGCGGGCGTACTCAAATACGACACGGGCCGAATGTACAAGACTGCCGTGGCCAAGACCACCAACAAAAAAAATTCGTAGACTTTGTGGTACAAGTCACTTCCCGCATCAAAGCGGGAATCGTAAAAAGTCTTTTGGAACCAAATCATCATGATGGGATAAAAGCAACCCAAAAAGTACAGAACACCCAAGGAAGTGGGAGAAGCTCGAATGAGGGAGCCCAAATTGTAGGCAGCCGCCACATAAAACAGGTCAAAGAACAAATCATTGAAGTTGGTGTGTGGCAATACTTGGGCTTTATCATCATCAAGAAGAAGAAGAAGAAGAGGAAGAAGAGGGTTTGCAAAAAGATTGATTGACAGGAGAGACAACGGAAAGGATCAGGTGAGATATGAAACCAAGACCACCAATTCTATTCTGAAGAAGTCTTCAATGATCTTACATTCTCCCCACTTTTGGCGTTGCCTTGGTCTCAAGTAGAAATGAAACTCGTCGGAACGGTGATGATGGTCATGATCATCATCGTGTCCATTATTGTGATCATTCTCATCGTCTCCGTCCTGCTCTGCTTTTGCAACTGCCTTGATGGCTTGCAGTTCCTCCTCAGGCAGTTGATCTTCGTCTTCTTCCGTGACTGGCATCTTTCTATTTGTTGGGTCCTAGCTAGTGGTGCAAAGCAACAAATCTTTGTAAAAGTGAGAAGTGATTTGCTGTCAAGCGACAAGCCAATGTTCAATGTGTTCCATTCTGTTCTTCTCCAAAGGTATCCAATTGAATACGAAAACTAAAAGGGAAATATAGTAGTCAAAGAATATTTCTATTCACACCATCCGGGTCTCCTTCGCGTCCGTATCATCCGACGTCGAATAACAGATGTCAGCTTGACATTATTAAAATACCAGTCACTTACAACTTTGCCTGGCATCCATTGCTCGTACAGCAGAGGAATCAATCCATCCATCGCTGCTCATTGCCGTCATGTCTTCGTCAGAGATCCCTCACGAAGACGATGACAAGGGCGGAAAGCTGCGCCGCAAACGAGCCTCCCAAGCTCGTTCGTTAGTTGTGCTGGTGGCCCTTGTCGGTTTCATCCTGTTAGTGTCCGTCGTCAAGCTAAATCATAAGGATAAGTATAAAAAGTACATTCCTTCTCGAAAACTGAGACGGCAGCAGCATCACTCCGCACAAGCAGTGGAAGACAATAAGGCACTCGAATTGGAACCAGCCGCGGGTCGTCAAATCGCTGAAAGCTTCTTGCCACCCGACTCGATTTACCAACTATCGGTCAAGGATATGCAAGGCAGCACAGTTTCCCTCGGACAATATCATGGACTGGTCACCATGATTGTCAATGTGGCTTGCAAATGAGGCAAGACCAAGGTCAGTTACGAAGAGTTGAGTATACTTCAAGAAAAGTATGCCTCAAGAGGTTTTTCGGTACTGGCCTTTCCGATTTCGGACTTTCATCAAGAATTGCCCGACAACAACTCCATTCTGGGATATGTCCAGGAGAAGTATCCCCAAGTCAACTTTCCCATTTTTGGGCTTTCTAGTTTGGCCGAGAATCCAGTTTATGACAAATTGCAAAAGACCTCGGGACACAAGGTTCAATGGAACTTTTACAAGTTTCTGTTGGATCGCAATGGCAAAGTGGTGGGGACTTATAACCATCAAGAAAATCCATTGAGCTTGACAGGCGATATTGAAAAACTTTTGGACGAATCGGATCCTCATTCGCACAAACTAGTCACTCATTAAAATGCAAAATGTGAGTGAATCAATCAATCAGTCACTTTGAAACGACGAGAGGAAAGATTGATTGATTGACAATAGCTACCAGGCACAGACATGACGAGACGAAAGGCTGGAAATGGGCTCTGCTGAATGATGTTCGCATTGGGAAATACCATTATGATTTCTGGTATCAACCTGATGGAATTGAAGAACAGAGTCTTGCTTATCCATTCTTCTCCTGAGCGCACAATTGTGAATGGCTCGTCCAGTTGAAGCCAACTGGATCCTCGTTTGCAAAACCTTTAGAATTGAATGGTGATTCATTTGACGGATAGAAGAATTCAAAGAACCCTTTGTGAATGACGTTTGGCTTTTTTGGGAACATATCTCTCATCCTTCTACTAGGAATGAGACGATTGTCCACAGAATGAAAACTGAACCGACAAGGATTTTTTGAAACGACCGTATCCGTCAAGCTGAATGCATTCGTAAAGATAAAGGAAACTAGAATATAGATTTCGAATACAACAGCGAGGGCTGCTCTACATCAATCGCATTCAATTTTCATTTCAATTTCAGGTACCGGTAGGACCGATTGATTGATTCATTCGACTGCCACTGACGAACGATGATGATGTCCACAAACATGAAACTCTCTTCTTCAACATTTTCCATCAGGTAGATGCGTCAATACACAGAGACTCTTATAGTGTGGCTTTGGTTCACTGTACCTCTAGTCCAAACAACATGCGCATTCCAAGCTTATCATATTCGGCTGGGGAGGTGGTATCAGCAACAACAGGTGTCACAACCAGTTTCATTACATGCTGCCGACAACCAAAACAACAAGAACGTCATGGAGTATTCTTATCAACAATCCGTATCATCACAAATGGAACAACGGGGAGGAGCCATCTATCGCCAATCAATCTTGACCAATGAGGAATTCAAAATTGTCCAAAAGGAGCTATCTACCTTGACCAACCGTTTGAATGACGAGACGGCATCAACGGTTGCCGTCCATCGACAGGGAGCTAGACTGGCACCCAACAGTCAAACGTACAAGATTCTCAAATCGGGGAGTCTCTTTGACTACATCCGAAAGGTTTCGGGCGATGATTCCATGGTCCTTTCTACAAACTTGCCAGTGGAAGTCCGACTTTACGAAAAAGTTGGGGCCAGCATGGCTTGGCACGAAGACGATGTCTTGTACGATCCACCCCAAGTGGAAGCTGTGATTACCATTGAAAACAATTCGGATTGTGTCACCATGTGGAAAGATGGAGAAAAATTGCTCTCTCGTGAGACAGACCCAAACTCTGTGCTGCTGCTACAAGCCGGTGGGCCCTTGCATTGTGTGACATCCTTGAAACGGGGACGTCGGTTGATTCTCAAGTGTGCTTATCGCAGTGGGAATGCAAGCTATCGAGAAGGTATCCACAAGGAGACATTCGGGGTATCGAAGTCATCAAAGAGGAAGAAACAAAAGAGCAAACGATAGTGTGTCGCTAGCGGGGAGTAGAAAATTGCCAAAATTGTGTGTTATTGCTACTATGGAACAACCAGCTTATTTCCCATTGATTTCTGGACCATGGTTTTGTAGTATCCGCAGCCACTATCTTGTTGCATCAGTTCCTCGTGAGACCCACTCTCTAGAATTTGTCCCTTGTCGACAACGGCAATCATATCGGCATTCCTAACCGTGGACAATCGATGGGCAATAATGACGGTCGTGATGCCCTGGTTTTCGTTCAACAGAGTGTCGAGTGCGGCTTGAACGATTTCTTCTGATTCCGCATCCAATGCAGACGTAGCTTCGTCCAACAATAGCAAGGATGGTTTTCGAATGATGGCTCGACTAATGGCAATTCTTTGCTTTTGACCTCCCGATAGTTGTATGCCCCGTTCTCCCACTTCAGTATCGTAGCCTCCGGGGAATGACGAAATGAAGTCGTGAGCATTTGCACGCTTGGCAGCCTCAATAGCTTCTTCCATTGTAGCGTCCTCCAGTCCATAAGTAATGTTGGATAGGATGGTGCCAGTGAATAGCGTTGGGTCTTGTGTGACGACGCCAATCCGTCTTCGATGTTCCTTGATATCCAATTGCTGAATGTTGGTGTCATTGATGGAAATTTCTCCACTGATCGGATCGTAGAAGCGTTGTAGTAAACCAACGATGGTACTCTTTCCACACCCTGAGGCGCCAACTAATGCCACTGTTTGACCGGTACCAATGGTCAGATTCAATCCAGTCAAAACGGGATGGTCTAGTCGAGTGGGGTATGCAAAGGAAACATCCTTCAATCGAATTGATACCGCAGAAGCTGGAGATTGGGAGGAAGTGCCGTCGATAGCACCAGATCGTCCTTCGTTCTGCAGTACACTTGTGCTTCCAGTGCCAGGAGGCGGCGGAGTCCGGTCCAACAAGGCAAAGATCTTGTCACCTGCTCCCGAACTCTTGATCAAGGAAGAATAGGATTGAAATAAATTCAACATTTCGTTCTGAAGTTGTCCTTGATACAGCATGAACGCTAGCAGGACTTCACCTGTCAATTGATCCTGTTGCATTAAATGGCTGCCATACAGGAGGAGTGATCCCTGTACCACTGTATTGATCAAGAAGGTCGAAACAAACATGTAATAGATACCAGTCATGTAGGTTTGCCGCACATTGAGTTGGTATTGTTCGTCGACCTTTTCCACATACTTGTTGTACTCCATTTCCTCCGAAGCAAAGGCAATGACAGTTCGTACACAAGAAAAAGTTTCTTGTGCCACTGAATTGGCCGCAGCAAGGGCATCCTGGACCTTTCGAGCATTCTTACTGAGCCAGCTTCCATAGTATTTGTTGACCACTGCTACCACAGGAATAATGCTCAGAGCACATGCCCCCAATCGAGGACACCGAAGCAACATGTATGTTGTGATTCCTATTATCCGAACGACCGATTCAATGCTAAACCGAAAGAACCATGTCAAGTCTCCCGCCATTTCTCCACAATCTGAATTGAGCCGTGAGGCCAACTCTCCTGATGTTGTCTTGTCAAAATAGCCGATCTCTTGCTTCATAATACTTTTGAAAGTATCAATCCGGACTCCTCGAACAATCCGTTGATTGGCATAACCAAACCAAAAAATGCACCAAAAGTCGAGGCAGGCATCAATGGTACCGAGCAAAAAGAGCCACATTATCTCACGGCGGGCTCGTTCGTATTCCGACTGCGACAAAGCGCCAAGAGTGGTACTGACAAAGTGAGGAATGCTCAAGGAAAAGGGCAGTCTCACCAAAAGTGTAAGGCATCCAATGTAGAGATACATGGTTTGTGGTTTGGCCAATGCTAGAAGACGTCGGGTTCCGCGGATACGAGAAGTGACACCGCCCTCATCAGTCCGTCGTGACTCGGACGGATCAGTAATAGTCGTAGCTGGTTCATGTTCATTATTTTCAGGATTCTCGCCGTCGGTGTGTTCTCTTGAGGACAACAATGGTTCTTCCATATCAGTTCGACGCGCTTCAGCTTCGTTTCGAGCGATGAGACTGGGGCTTCCTCGTGGCTCAGCCGGAAACAACGAAAGCATCAAGGCCAGACAAGCCACGAAGAGTACACAAGAACCAAATACCAACAAACCAAATGTGTCTCCTATTGATTGATCACCTTCCGCAAACTCAGAAATAATGGCACTCTTGGTAGAACCTCTTTTTTCATCATTCCAAAGTCCAATAATCACCCACACCAATCCTGTCACGCCCTGCATGGCAATGGCCACTCGCGTCGTTTGGATGGCCAAGCATGGATTGGACGAAGAAGGTATCATCAACAAAACCAAGCAGGAAATTCCTTGCGCCAATATGACTCCCCCGGCCATTCTAGCAATTGTTATTGCTCCATCGTTAATAGTGACATTGCCCAACAAGAGGGTCACGACTCGACTCGGAAGGATGACAAAAGTAGTGCCGAGTACCAACAAAAGAAGCGTATTGATCAGCGACAAGGTACTTGAACACTTCTGATACCCCGTATTGAACTCCTCGTGGGTATTGGAAAAGCCATTATTTTGACTATTGGACCTCTCTCTTTGAGGCATGGCAATTAAAACCTCCTTTGACACTGTTTTGTGCTGAGTTTATTTCAGAAGCGAATCTTTTGCGCGCGACCATGCGCATATGGATATTTTGATGGGAACAACCACACAAAATCCATCAACTCGTACAGTATTTCCTATCAACAAGAAACAGGTTCAGAGCTTTGCTTGCACACGAATAAAGACGAAATTAGAACAATGTCAAGACTCGTGGCAGCCATCGTTGCAGCAATTTCATTGCCAGCCCACGCCTTTCATTCCATGACTCCTGTCCCACGGATCGCCTTGAAGGATTTTGACGCCGAGTCGTCCTATCAAGATCGGCCCTTGATCATTGAAACTGGACTGGATGTGGAACCCCTATGCGACAATCTCATGGAAAGAGTTGCAGGCCAGATCATTACACTACAGCAGACAAAACGCATCTACAAGAAACCAAAAACTACAAACACGAAGAACGAGTATAAGCCCAAGAGCAAAAAGAAACAACACCGAGCGGCAAAGCAAGACAAATCCAAAGAAACCGTCGAGAAGGAGACCAAATTGTACAACCTTTCTATGGGACAAGCGATTGATTTGGTCATGAGCCAGTCCAACCACGACAATAGCTTGTTTTCCTTCTGCGAAGGCTTGTTAGACGATTTGGATACTTCCGAAGGAGTAGTAGACTATTCTGGCAAATTCGCCCTCGGCAAACAAAATGTGGATTGGTTCGATTTGTTTCCACCTCACATCCAACCAAGTGACTGCGTCATTTTGGCGGGAGAGGGAGCCTCCTCTACTTTGCACCGGGATCCTTTTGAATGGACGGGGACCAGTCTGTGTTTGGAAGGGACCAAAGTTTGGCGCTTTTTGGAACCCCACGACAGTAGTGCTCCCGACGAAGCTGGGGTCGACAGTGTCGACAAGCTTCTCAAATCCTATCGGTTACCTTCAACAGCTTGGGAAGAGGGAGAGACTTTCTTGAGTGCTGGTTGGCAAAGCGACTTTAATCTATACGAACGTAGACACGAATCCATTCCTAGTGCTCGCGAGCTTGGAGAAAGCGGAGAAGAAGGCCATCATCAACAGTTGGAAGAGATTGCCCAAAACTTGTCTCTGCTCAAGCCTAATTTTGATTCCAGCAAGTGTTCGTGCTGGACAGTGGTGCAAAAGCCCGGAGATCTGCTGTTGATACCTGCTCATTGGTGGCACCAGACCTATGCATTAGAACCAAGCTTGGCAGTATCTTCACAACGGTGTGTTTCCAAGTTGGATGCTGCACGTGTCATTGAGCACATTCTATCAGCAACAGATACGATGGACGAAGCACCAGATGCGCTGTTACAACGCGACTATTCCGATTTGCAAGCAGAAAAAGAAATTCAAGAGGTCATTGATGCCTTATTTGATCATTTAGATTCCACCCTATCCGTGTGGGACGGTGAAGGGGGCGGCGAACGATGAAGACGACTCGTGGTAGGTGTGTTCGGAATAGTAGGCTCCCAATCGTGTAGCAGCACTCATCCTGTCTATGGATCGATTCAACCCCGACCTACGATTGGAGATGCGAGTCGAAATTCCCAGCATCGTTCGGCGAGCTCTGGATTCCTTCTTGTTTCGCTAGATCCAATCACGAAGCCTCAGTGGTTGTGATTCAAACTGCTTGGCTAGCGTTGTCGACCATTGTTCGGACCAAGTCCTTCGTTTTCACGGGTTGCTTTGGGGGAGCGGCTTTGTTTGGATGCCTTGCTTACTTTTGACTTGATACTTTTCGAATTTTTGGACATGTTATCAATGAGTACACCATAGTCAGGTGAAGATACCGGTGGTAATGGCTTGATACCATTGATGGTAAAGTAGGTTACCAGTTGTTCCGGGATCACCTTTAGGGCCTGTAAAATCACTTCATTTGCATTGCCCCCAAACTGCTTGAAACTGACAAACGAGATGATATCTCTAGCTATCGGGATCCCTCGAGCGTCTCGGAGCATCGCCTTGAAGTCGGTGCGGCAAAGCTTTTCGATTGCCGAAAAGTCTCGATTCCCAACCCCAACAACGATAATGGAGATGGGAGCATCTTCTGCTGCTCTACATAGGAGGCCGATCGTCTCCTGCAAATCAATGATATCACCTGCAGTGAAGACTGTCAAAATAGTGTAGCATTGTCGGTGCCTACAATTTCGGATAGTAAGAAATGTAGCTTCTTCGATCAGAGGTTTTAATTTCGTTGACAGTCCCTGTTGGAAATTTTCATTGTTGGCGATGTTCCGATCGTACGAATCCAACAAATCCTTGCCTGTGACCAGCTTATCGTCGAACAAATGCAAGTCTTGAGTCTTTCCATTAATCTTTGGTCCCAAGCCCCACACACTGGAATTCCTTCCGCGGGCAAAGTTCTCAACAATCGAGCCCAGTTTTTGTATACCAGCTTGATAATCATTCAGCCACTGGCTTGTGGTATAGTGCAAGTTCTTATCTGACCCTCTCTCATCATTTGCAATCGTGCAATCAATCCCAACCATGAGATCCAGTGAACACCCCCCACTCATATACTTTAGCATGCTTGGAATTGTGCTCTTATGCGCTTTCAGAACTTTCAAAACTCCCACCGATTTTAGTTTTGTTCCACGAAAACCAAATAATCGTTTCTTCTCTTTTGAAACAGTAAATACTGGGACGTTCTCCTTTGCCTTCCCTAGAATTTCGGCTACTGTCGATTCCACAAACCCAATGTAATCAATCAAACGATAGTCCTTATCGTAATCCCAAACTGTTAACTTCAATGGATTATCCAAATCTCCATTACATATCATTTGAAGCGGGAGACGGGCCTCCTTCCACGTAGGGGAGGTGTTTCGTTTGACAGCTTCTGATTTCCAAATAACATCCCAGCTTTGATCATCTTTATTCAACTTCTCCACGCGGAAGTAAGGATTACATCTATCGACAACTCTTTGTTCGTAGAGACTTCTTTCCTTCACCAAATCCTGAGCGGATAATCTGAATTCTAAAACTTCACAAGTTTCCATCGTTTCTGAGAGATGGAAATGAATCATCGATGAGTGAATACCCTTTCTGGAATCAATGAAGAAATGAAGAAAAATAAATGAATCATTTCGTACCATTTCCTGTCACAACCATGAAGGCATTTTCTCTCAACAACTTCTTGGCCACGCTGCATCCTTTTGCTCCCATTAGCTGTCCAAGTGTAAAGATGTAACCCCCAAGATAGTCATGTTCCTTCAAATCGGTGGCATAACGCAAATCCTCGTCATAAACTCTAACAACATAAGTTTGCTGCTCGTGAAATATATATTCTAACCTAAATGTATGCTTGAATGTTGGGTTGACAGTAGCTCTAGCGATTTCTGTCCTCCCGATTTCATCTTCTGCGTGGCCAGGCAACTGACTCGGAACTCCCTTTTCGGCAGTTGGTGCGTATCCATTTGGTGCTTTCCATAGTACACCTTTCATTGCAAAAAAAGAAGGCGTCAAAAAATCTGACAGCACCAACACAACATGTACTTTTTCAGTGAGGCTTACAAAAGGCATCTGCTTGACTTAACAAGTCTTTCTTTGGCAGATTGTGACAAGAAATTTCCAAATCGAGTTTGATAAGAGGTGCTGTGATCCTGGAGGACCATGCAAATTTCGAATATTTTGAATTCTTCTTCACAAATCCACCTGCAGTCTGGATTGCCTTCACTCCACCCTTGACTCCTTTCACACCGCCTTTGACACTTTTCACACCAAGCTTGGCACCACCTCTGACACCTTTCACACCAAGTTTGGCACCACTTCTGAGACCTTTCCCACCGATTTTGGCACCACTCGTTACACCATCAATGATGGCATCGTTTGCACGAAATATAGCATCCGAGGCCATAACCTTCGTTCAGCAATGCAATGGGAGAGAGTACGAGTACTGTACAAACGAAGGAATCAAAATGATAACCGCATGTGCAGGATGCGCGGGAACGTCAATAAATCCGGAAGCACAATTGGGGGATACTGAATTCTGAGGAAATTTCAAAAGAGGGGATTCTTTGTTGATGTTGGTTGCAGTCCTTCTTTGGTCGCACACATCACTTCTACGCTGCCTCTTCCTGAAAATCTTGGAATAGATCTGGCAAGACCCCTTGGCAGAAGTTGTATGAACATGCGGGAGCAGTGTAGGGCGGAGACCAACACTTTGACTTGACACAGAACCCTTGTACTGTGGCAGATATTGCAAGAGGACTTCTATGAAAAGATCGACTAAAAGTAAAGTGGAAATACACTTTTAATGATGTTATGCTTCGCATTGCAATTACTATGGTGACATTCATTCTACATGTGTGTGATATAATACTGGAAAGATCATGAGTTTTATGAATTCATGTTTCATCGTTGTCGGCATGATGATTGAATAATTTGAGCCTCTGTTCGTTGCTCGTAGTCCGACATTGCTCTTGGTGTATGATGATGGATAGTACAGCAACCATCACATTGGATAGCATCCATGTCAGGATCCTGCGGGTTAGCGGAGTTGTTTGAATCGCTCATCTCCAAGAGCCCATCTTCAAGCCTTGGTGAAAGCTGCAATGCTGAAGCACAGGGGCTCCGTGGAAGCTCATAAAATGATTGGCACGCCTTCAGAATATCTGCGTAGGCTTCGTTGAATTCTTGATGTTGTTGTTGTTGTCGTTGTTGCTGACACACGTTACTCATTTTGAAAGATTTAGTTTATGTCTAACTCGGGATCTCGTTTGTGATAGTTCAAAACTGTTGTCAAGAGATTTGTGACACCCTTCTTGTGTTGACAAGATTTTCAATGAAGCAACATAGAACATACAAATCGCGATTGCAGAAACTTGACTTGGAATTCGCCAGCTTATTTAGCAGTTTGTGAGTGGCATAAATTCTTCTCCTTTCTGACGCATGTTTTTGGTGGCGTTACCGCACTTTGAAGAGCAGCAGATGTTACCATCTGCCAGTGTCGGTTTATTTTAATTAGGACATTGAAGCTTGCATCATTTCATGTCATCAAAATTTGTCCTGAGATTTACAATGACGCACAATTTTCCAATTAACAGTTTATTGAGCGGCGATGATCAGAAATGCGTGTGAGAACTGAAACACGCGAAGCCCAAGTTGCAATTCTGACGCATGAATTTGCCGTCAAAACATCATGACGCACAAAAGCATGTGTTTTGATCCACGACGTCCATCTGCCGATACGTTAATGTGAGACCAACCTGCGATCCACCACATCTTATTTCGCTTCCTCTCCCAATGAGGCTAAGATGAGGCATCATACTGTTATTGCATGTCTTGTCCAATTATCTTCCTTGACATTAGGATTCTGCCCAAACTACACACCGAGAAGGAACGACCCACATTATGGTCTCTCACCTGACCTATTATCCCTACAGCCTAGACTACCGACCGTGGTGAAGGTCCAAGCCAGCAGTGATGTTTTTTCTTCGACGAGCAAGAAGGAAGCAGCATCACTAGCTAATCCTTCCGCTCGATCTGTGGCAGTGTTTTCATTGATGGATAGCCTTGGCAAGAAGAATCGTTCTTTTGCAGTTCAGCATTTGGAAAATGACCCAGACTACCAGCGTCTGGAAAAACGAGACAAAGCTTTTGCTCGACTATTATTCTCAACAGTGGAACGCCGACAAGGACAGATTGACAAGGTCGTCTCCAGCTTTACGAGGTCAAATAAATCTCAAAAGATTAAAGCTGCTGACAGGCTTTGTAGGTCAGCCATTTCAATTGGTGCTGCTCAAATACTTTTCCTGGGTGTGGCAGAACACGCTGCCATCCATGATACAGTCGAGGTGCTTCGGATGCATCCAAAGATCAAAATATCGTGAGTCATATATGTTGCATACGGTTCTTGCATTTATTCTATCTATTGCATACACACTCACACTATTTCAAAAAGCAAACCGCAGATTAATTTTGTAAACGCCATCCTTAGAAATGTTCAAAGGAAAGGAATGGTAGAGCTTGAAACGAACACAACAATCTATGACAACATCGAACCCTGGCTCGCCAAGGAATGGATAGAAACATACGGGGAGGAGAAAGCGAAGGTTATCGCGGAAGCTTCCATGGGTCAGTCACCAATCTTTATTTCAGTCAAACGTGATTCGCAAAGCAATGAGGCACAACACGAGGAAAAACTGAAACGGATACGCGATTGCTTTTCGACTGCTGGTGGTGGAGATGAAGCAACCATTCTACCGCATGGATCGATTGAAATTCCAAAACATCAGAACTTTGGCGGTGTATCGCAGTGGCCTCTATATAAAGACGGAGAGTGGTGGGTCCAGGATCCTTCCGCTTCCCTTCCGGCGATTGCCCTGCACAATGCACTTTGCAAACTGGAGGACAACCAACAAAAAAAGGAAGCCATGCACATTGTAGATCTTTGCAGTGCTCCAGGTGGAAAGACTTCCCAGCTTTGCTCATTTGGCTTTGGAAAAGTCACAGCAATCGAAGTCAGCAAGAAAAGGATCCGACCATTGCAGGAAAACATGGCCCGGCTGAAGATGGAGGAGAAGTGCGAAATTGTGGTGGCCGATGGGCGCGAATGGATTCCCAGTGACGACTCGAACCCAGTATACGGAGTTTTGGCGGACGTTCCTTGCAGTGCCACTGGGGTCGGCAGTAGACGTCCCGACGTTTTGAGAAAGCAAGCAGATGTTCTGGAGGAACTTTTAACAACCCAGCGAGAGCTTGCGGTTCATGCTGCGGATGACATATTGGCAGTTGGTGGTACTATGGTTTATGCCACCTGTTCTTTGCTGAAACAAGAGAGCGAAGACCAAGTAAAGTGGCTTCTGTCCCGACAAGACGGAGCAGTCATGGAGACTGACCCAATCATGCGAGGAGAAATTCCTGGCTTTGATGATGCCATAGACGAAAATGGATGGCTTCGAGTCCTACCAGGCATCCTTTCAGGAAGTCTGAAATATTGCGATGGTTTCTTTGTTGCAAGACTTAAGCGAATAAGATGAGCTTTGAGTGGTTTGGCTATCAATATAATTGGTATTACAGTGTATCATTTCTCTATTACTAAAATCAAAACTCCTATCTTAGGCCTGTCTTCGTCCGTCGGATATTTTTCACGTGACTCCCGCACACTTTCGCCTTATTTCCGGTCACATTCCAAGTTTAGGTACTGTAGGTGTTTAATACTTGCATACCTACAATAACGATGGATGCTCCACCCAAACCAGGCCGAACAGTTGCCTTTCCCTGCATCGAAAACCCTTTTCGAGTATCTCTCTACTGCAATGGCAATTATCTGTGGTGTCTGAACCGTGGAGGAAAGGCTGGAACACGAAAACGTCGCGCGATTGACCGAGATGACTTTCAGTTGATTGAAACTGACGGCGGCACCAGTGTCATGATTGTGAATCACAAGTTTGGCTCGGTATTGAGTGCTGTTAAAAATAAAAGAGGAGTGACTCGAATTCGTTTCATTTCGCAAGAAGGAATGCCTGAGGAAGAAAGCGGAGGGGAAATGGACTCACAAGAAGGTTATGGCGATGACGAAAGTTTGGCCTGCTATCAGCAAGAGATCCCAGCCGCGTCGAGCACCGAGTCCCTGGAACCAACGGAGTCAATGGATGGGACGGAAGATGATAATGACGATGATGACGACCTGACCAACGCTGACATCTCCATCGAATGTCAGAAATGGCAATTCCTAGAGTCATTGGATGGATACGTTTGTATGCAGAATGTTGGAACCGGCGATCGCTTGGGTGTTGATAAGAGAGGGAGGTGTACTCTATTCTCAGAAGACGATCCCGTAGGTGTACATAATCTGTGGATCGTCGAACCAGTGACTGGAGAACTTTGCTTCTTGTCAAACGCGAAAACTGATTCCAGGCTCAGATGTGACATGGTTGGCAAACTGGGAATGTCCTCAAACTGGAAGGGGTGGGAAGTCTTTCGTTTTTTGGAGGCAGGAAATGGATACGTCAAAATTTGCAGCTGGACTCACTCCTTGTGGATTCTCAAATGTCATGCCAGCGGAAAAATTCAGACCGGAAGGCACTCGGACTTTCACACGGATCAAGATTGGTGCTCGCTATGGGCAGTGGAGAGTGCGCCCGATGGCAAAGGTGTTGTCATTCGATCCAAGAGTTTTGAGCGATTTTTGTGCGTTCGTAAGAATGGAAATGCGCTGGTATTGGGAACGTATCATCCCTTTGATGATGTTGATGATGGAACCGATAGTGACTGCTTCAGCAAGAGCGACGACGATACCTGGTATGGCGGTGACATAAGCATGTCACAAAGTGAAGATTCTTGTGGTGTAAACAGCCCATCGCATCGATCACAGGAGGCATACATCCAAGAAGCTCTAGACCGACGAAATCGAACAGAACGAAGCAATGAACAAAGTAATCAACGGGGCATTAGACGACGATGGTTCCGACGACGAAATAATTCGGAGGATCTAGAGAACGGCAACAATGGAAATGGAAATGTGGGCACGCTAGCAGGCGAATCAATCTTTTGGAACCTAGAAGCAGCGCACCAGCAAGTCTATTTTATGTCCGCACAGCCGTCTGAAACACAAGGCAATATTACTATTGGTCCTTTCCCGAGAGTTTCACGGAATCATCGAAGGACGGATAAGTTCTGCGTGATTCGAAGAACAATGGGCGACAATAAGGACACAAACGACATGGTGGCTCAACTTCTTCATATTGAAACAGAGCAATACATTGCATGTTGCGAAGATGGGACAGTCAAACTAACCCTGAAAGATGACGAGAGCACTGAATGGATGATGACCAGCTCAGATGCTCATGGTCACAATTCGTTTCAGTCGAAATTGTTTGGCTATTACCTGTCTTATACGAATATCGAGGACCCATTGACTGGTGAGACGATTGATGGTGATTCCGAAAGTGTTGTGAGTAAATTGGAATCGCCAGCGAAAGGATCGCCAAACAAGAGGTCGCCAAGTAAGCGTTCACCGAGTAGACTGGGTGGTCTCTTTCGGGGAAGAAGCAGAGATGCGGGCGACGAGATTGATTCGGAATTGGTCGGATACAAAGAATTGAGCAAAAATGGATACTGGGATCTTGGACCAAGTGTTCCGCGTGCCCTGAACTCAAGGAAGGTAAGGAAGTTTGCATTCGGAACTTCGCTCGTCCTTGGGTCCAGTTTGGCTCTTCCTTTTGCACTTGTGGGAGTGGGCGCAGTCTTGCACGTTGGCGGCCATGCAAGTGTGGCATATCATGTGGTTGTTGCCGGCCTCTCTTCCGCGGATACTGTGACCTCAGTTGGCGCTGTTGGGGCAACAGCATATTTCGTATTCCGAGCGCAAGGAGTCTCTTTGAGCGACAGAGCGAATGATCCAAATGGCAATGGATCCGAGCAGGATCGTTCACGATTCCAGCGTCCTTTCTGCGAATGGAGAAACTGGATTCCAGCTCAGGACTCATCCTAAGTGTTTCCCCCTCATGACACACTGTAATGATATAAAAAAGGAAATCAGTACGTTTGCAACATAGGACGAACAGCAGGTGTTTACCATACGTGGTGCCCTGTTGTTTCCCTCTACTTTCATGATTTAATTTTTAGAAAGATTGTGATATGAGCAAACAAAGCTAGAACAGTCACCGATTAACACTTCTGTATGGGCGCCGTGGGCAGCTTTCGAAGAACGGCTTGGATGCCCAACAGGCCAATGCCAATCACAGCGGGCAAAGCATTTTGGAATGTCTGTTCTTGGTAGACCTTTAGGTGGCTGACATGAAAGTTGTGATGTTCGCCATCCAAAATGATGAAAAGATTGTCAACACACATCCTCGAAGAATAGGTACTGTACAATATTGGCTCTTGAAGAGAAAGGGATACCAATTCTTCGGCATTTCAGCCCTACCGCACGTACTGCGTAGAATTGCTACGAGAGGAGATCAAAATGCCGTCTTTGACATACCTTCAACATACCGGTACGGTATGGCATTCTGTAGAAAATTAAGCGGCACCAAACTATCAACATTTAAATGGTGACATTCAAGCAGAAGCTCGTCTTGAAAAGTTTTTCCTTTTTTTAAAAGGTGAGTGCAATTGCTACGAGCAGATTCGACAAGGCCCGTAAAACCCAAGAAAGTACCTATTTAGCGACTTCTGATCAAAATGACCCAAGAACAACAACTTGTGTCACAAAACCTCACTTTTTCTCGTTGCCACAGACAGAATCACAAGCAATTTTTCAAACTCACCATGTCGATGAAAGCTCAAAATGACGAGTTTGGAGTGAAGATTGAAATCAGAGAATGGGAATTGAACGGAACTAGCACTGTTTATGACAATCAAGTTGCCGCCCCCTCCGACGATTCTTTGCGAATCCAGTGGATTCTATTCATATCCATGTTGTCACTGGCAGTGATTCTGATGGTCTTTGTATTCGTTGCAATATTGAGAGACAAAAAATGTCGCCGCAATCCATTCAACATCTACATCCTATTCCTTCTTGCTCCGGACATCAATTTTTCCGCATCTTGCATTGCCTCCTGCGGCTTGAATCTACACAAAGTTCGGTATTTTTCTGTTGACGGATGTGTGTTTCAGTCTCTCTATTGCATGTTTGCGATTACATCAAGTACGTGGATAAATGCAATTGTGGTGTATCAGTTGCACAGAATGTTGAAATGCTCGAGAAATGCGATACGATATCACCCCCCTACGCGAGAAATGGTGATCAAGCAGTGTCTGATAGTCTATGCATTTGCATTATTCGTGGCCTCATGGTCAAACTGGGGAGTTTCCGAAACTTGGTGGCCAATTCGTAACAATGTCTACAGTGGAGTGTTTTGCCTACCGATGCCATATGACTTTCGTAGCACGCTGTTCTTCTACCTACTATACGCTCCGCTGGTGTTCTTCCTACCGCTGTTCTACATCTGCTACGTCGTCTTTGACATTGCAAAGAACAAGCTTCTTCCGCATCGAGAGCAACGAAAGACTTTGATGATCTTTTTCCGATTGTTATTGGTATACTTTGTGGTACGTGATCGCCTATTTCTGCTAGCGAGCTCAGTTGTTTGGCAAGAATCTTAGTCTCATCCTCTTTGTTAGATGTGGGTCCCTGCTCTTTTTCTAACGTTTGTGGCTGGCAATTGGCTGTCCTGGCAATATGTGACCTTTGGAGCAATGTGGGCGCACCTACAAGGAGCCGTCTCGGCTGGAACTTGCATTCAAAAGCCAGACATTCAGGTAGCTTGTAATAATCTTGTGTTTTGTTGTACAAGGAAAAAGGATCAGGCTGTGTTGGAACCCATCCCAACCACTCTTGAGAAACCAGCCCAAGTATTTCTCGGAATCAAAGAGAAGAGCGCATCACTTAACTTGATCGATGAAGAGCAGCAAAAGGATGACGATTCAATTCGCGATTCCGACAGTGATGATGCACTGACGAACAGTTACGAAAGCAGGGGAAGCAGCAGCTGCTGCAGCAGCGGGACAGTGAATAAAAGCGCATATGAAATAGCCTTGGGTCTTGAAGCTGGAGAATTGCATTCTATTCCCCCATTCAGCGAGTCTGGCACAAGTAACGGAGCAAACGAAAGTTGATGACGTTTGGATTTGGAACTGATCTCGTTCTTAGGTCAAGTTTGGCTCTTCGTTTTGCAGTTGCAGCATCCTTTCTGCGAGTGGAGAAACTGGATTCCAGCTTAGGACTCAGATTTTAGCTCCAAACCATGGATGATCCCTCTCATGGTCCATTGCGACAGTATGATATCAAACAAAAAATCGCTTCTTTGAAATATAGGAACAGAAAGTATTTGTGCTAGTACACGATGTTTTGTTATATTTTGTGATATTTTGTGATATCGTTTACTTTCATCATTTAGAAAGAGAGTCCAAGGTTGATGCCTGTTGCCATGTGAGCAAACAAAGCAACCATCGTTGCCGATCCGAGATAGGCGTGCACGTCACGGGCAGCTGGTGTCGATTCGAAGAGCTTCGGAAGAATGGCTTGGATACCCAACAGACTGATGCCAATCACCGCGGTCATTGCATGTGGTGACTCCAAAATATTTTGCCCTTGAGTCGCCAATAAGACTAGACCACCCTGTCCTCCCAAAAGAAAGAAGAACAGAGCACCGCCCATCAGCTTTGGATGCATTTCTCGCACCGTTTCACCAAGTGTCAGTGCATTGACTTCGTTTCCGTTACCTAGTCGTGTTTGCCATCCAAGGTACGCTCCAAACACACCCATTGTCAAGAGGACTGTCGCCATGGCTCCGCCGTGTCCCCAGTGAAGCAAAAAGTCGGGAGCCAACCCAGCTTCTTTGGCTTGTTGAAAAAGGGGGGTCCTGTGGGTGGTTCGATGCTGCATGAGGAAATGTCGATGGCTTATAATAATAGGTGTTGGAGAAGCATATATAGTGGAGACTTACCAAATGTCCACGTAACTTTGAATGGGACCCTTGATTCCATCAAATGCTGAATTGACCGCGGTCGCAGACGGACAAGTGACGCGCCTAGCAAGCGACGAAGAGGGGCTGACAAAGGCGTCACAAGATAGTGCCATCATTGAGAGCAGTAAAAAGGAAAGTCGAGCCATTGTTCTGTTGTTGGATCTTTGGTTGGCTCACTGGTTGTCATCGAAAATGATGGGAAGGATTGCTCGGTGATGAGTCAGATTTTTTTTGAAAGAATTCAAAATGAGCAAAAGAGAAGAGGAGAATCAGAGAACGGTGGAGGGGGCAATCTTGACCACTTCCGAAATGAAAAGGTTGTGAAAAGTGTTGTCGCGCGGGAACCTCGGAAAGGCGCAATCTGCACCGCTGGTTCTGGCCCATCACGTAAAAATGTCAGTACGCGCCAGCCGAATACTTCTTCGATCGCCAGCCAGTACGTGTCGCGGAGGCAACCATATCATGAAACCGAACAGCCCGCGCGAAGCGGGCGTTACGGATTAAGAAAATCTTTCAACGACAATTCGCGGTTAATTAACCGCGAATTGAAAAAATCGCGGTAAATTTAACAGCGAATTCTAAAATCGCGGTAAATTTAACAGTGAATTTTTCAATTCGCGGTTATTTAGTAGCGAATTCTAAATTCGCGGTTAATTGAACCGCGAATTGAGTTATGTAGAATCACTCTCATTTCTTCCTCCATACAACAATACCATGCAATAGAATGTTTTGTTCCTCAATCACAGGGTTTCTTCCTATGTTTGGATTGGGAAAGCTGTCCTCTTGAGAGTCTCTAGAGAGAGGAAAAGCAGCTGTTCCAATAGTGAAAATACAAGTGTAAATAGTCTCCTTTAGCATCAATACTACGTTATAGATCTATGATTCTACCCCTTGACTTTGAGAGCGTGCAAGTACTTTCCTGTTCTATTCTCCTGGTAGTTGCATTCCCTGAAAACATTCAAAGAAAACTCCTTGCAATACTGTTTTCGTTAAGAACGCCATAGATCTTGTTATCTTACAGGAGGCTTATCTTTTCCATCCTCGTCCATAGCTTGACGCAGAAGCTTCTGGGCATCCGATCGTTGTCAATGAATATTTTGTAGTAGCTTTGAAAGGATGTTACTGGATGGTTGTCGACGAACTGTTTGACATGAGCCTAGTGGTCCTCGACGACTCCTCTGCTGATCTTCTGGTTTTCTTGCTTCTGCAGCGCTCTCAGTCTATCAGCAAAATATTCGAAATCACCTTGTTCCACTTCCTATTTTTCTCGCCGCTCATGTCACACACCTTCTTCAAGATGACTTTTGGAGTCAACATTTCCCCATCGAGTGGAATGGGCGACTCCAGGAGCAGCGGTGTGCAAGAGATCCCATAGAATTTCTTTTGCCCTGCTGATTTTTCGTCCCATCTTATGCTCCAAGATATTGTTCGCCTTTTTAAAACTTCTGAGCCTGGTAGCAAGTTTCTTGGGATCCCACTTTTCCGATCTCCCTTCGTACCTGTACCTGGTAGACTCCTCGCCCATTTCGCAAATCATTTTCAGATGACTTTTGGAATCATGTTGTTCCCTTCATCGTCTACTTCTTTCCTTCATCATCTACGGCTTCTCTATCGGGCGACAGATCCCCGGTAGTTCCTGGATGATTTGTTTTGCCCTGCTGATCTTCCAGGGCGTCTCAGGCTCCACAAACACCATTGATGGATTTGTTTGGTTTTGTTGAAGAAGTTTTAGAATATTATGAATTCGCGGTTAAAGCAACGGCGCTTTTTCAATTCGCGGTTATCACAACGGCGAATGAAGCCAATTCGCGGTTAAATAGCCGCGAATTTTTCAATTCGCGGTTAAATAGCCGCGAATTTTTCAATTCGCTGTAAAATGTTGGAGTGTTCGCGGATAGACCGAACATTGCGGGTGGCACCATCATGTGTCCAACACGACCCGTTCGATTTGAAGGAGGCTTGACCAGCTCGCACAGGAATGTCTTGGCAGGCACGCCACTACGTTTTTTGCGTGATGGGCCTGGTACTGGTATTGGTCCTGCAACTTCAACCTGGTACCGGTACCAATACCGGCGCTGTCGATATTGATTACACTTCTTGATAAGAAGATGATCTGTCTAAACGTTTTCTTCCCTAGTGCCACAAGATATTCTTTGAATCAGGTCACGTTCACCGCGCGAGCAAGATTGATGGCAGAAGAAGAAGATCTTAGTCAGCATAAATAAATGTTTACCAGTGGTGCTGTATGCGTTGAACTTCCTCGAGTCAGAAGATGTTAAATAAAAAAATGAGCACAAAAGAATCAATCTTGCGCGAAGTTCAGTGTCGAACCAGATTGTGTAGGAGCTTTTTTCCCAATCCACTGACAATCTGATCATAAAAATCTCGTTCGAGTGCATTACACCATGTCGATGAAAGCTCAAAATGACGAATTTGGAGTGAAGATTGAAATAAGAGAATGGGAATTGAACGGAAATAGCACTGTTTATGATAATCAAGTTGCCGCCCCCTCCGACGATTCTTTGCGAATCCAGTGGATTCTATTCGTCACTATCTTGTCAATCGCAGTGATTCTGATGGTGTTTGTTTTCGTTGCAATATTGCGAGACAAGAAATGTCGCCGTAATCCGTTCAACATCTATATTCTCTTCCTTCTTGCTCCGGACATAAATTTTTCTGCATCTTGCATTGCCTCCTGCGGCTTGAACCTGCAAAAAATCCGGTACTTTTCTGTTGACGGATGTGTGTTTCAGTCTCTCTACTGCATGTTTGCGATTACATCAAGTACGTGGATAAATGCAATTGTGGTGTATCAGTTGCACATAATGTTGAAATGCTCGAGAAATGCGATACGATATCACCCCCCTACGCGAGAAATGGTGATCAAGCAGTGTCTGATAGTCTATGCATTTGCATTATTCGTGGCCTCATGGTCAAACTGGGGAGTTTCCGAAACTTGGTGGCCAATTCGTAACAATGTCTACAGTGGAGTGTTTTGCCTACCGATGCCATATGACTTTCGCAGCACACTGTTCTTTTACCTACTATACGCTCCGCTGGTGTTCTTCCTACCGCTGTTCTACATTTGCTACGTCGTCTTTGACATTGCAAAGAACAAGCTTCTTCCGCACCGAGAGCAGCGAAAGACTCTGATGATATTTTTCCGATTATTGTTGGTATACTTTGTGGTACGTTATTGACTGTTTCTGTCAGCGAGCTCAGTTGTTTGGCAAGAATCTCAATCTCACCCACGCTCTTAGATGTGGGTTCCGGCTCTTTTTCTTACGTTTGTGGCTGGCAATTGGCTGTCCTGGCCGTATGTGACCTTTGGAGCTATATGGGCGCACCTACAAGGAGCCGTATCGGCTGCAACTTGTATTCAAAAGCCAGACATTCAGGTTGCCTGTAAGAATCTTGTATTTTGTTGTACAAGGAAAAAAAATCAGGCTGTGTTGGAACCCATCCCAACCACTCTCGAGAAACCAGCCCAAATATTTCTCGGAATCAAAGAGAGAAGCGCATCAATTAACTTGAACGATGAAGAGCAGCAAGATGAAGTAGATGACAATGCCGATAAGGATGATGACGCAGCCCATAAGAGTGACACAACTATGACCAGCAGCAGCAGGCCACTGCGTAGGAGTGCATATGAAATAGCTTTTGGTCTTGAAGCTGGAGAATTGCATTCTATTCCTCCATTCAGTGAGTCTGCTTCGGGAAATGTGTAAAGGGCTATGAAATGGGACTTTTTCCTTAATGCGCAACAGGAGAAGTTGAATGGTGGGATGACCGCTTTGGTTGGAAATGATATTGTACTACACCTACCATCAAAATATTTTAATGTATAAAAAGTAGCTGGTGTTGGTGGTGTAATTAACCCAATAGTCAATAAGTCCATGCTCTTTTTGTATCGAATTTCTGTGGCATGCTTGTTGCAACACCAGGCATCACCTACTGTAGCTACACAACCCACAACCCCTACTGCCTGAAATCTAGACAGCATACACTAGTACACTTCTTGGTCTACTGCCTACTGATACATGACTGGCTTGCTACTAGATTGATATATGACTGGCAAGCCATCTCTTTTGGTCCAGTCAAGCGTTCCTTTGTAGCTTGATTCCAAGTTCTTTCAGTCAAAAATCGTGAGATTGTAGAGCAAACGTGACTGGACCTTGCTCCAAATCCAGTGGATGGGCCTGAAGCGAGGGAGATGTTGCCATCGCTGTATCTTTATCAATTAGCTGCTATTATTTATTGTTGTCTCGAACGGGAAAAAAGAGAGGTAGCAGTCCTCTCACCAAACTACACTAAGGATTCCGTAGCTGAGTCTCCACAATACTACTGTGCTGTTTCCCCTAAAACTTTGAAGAAGCTCGATAGTAAAATAAAAGGTATGCGGTTTCATTGCATGCTGTCCACAACCCTGAAACAGCAAAATGGAGGTGAGGGGAATCGAACCCCTGACCTTCCGCAATCTTGAATTGAATGCAAAGCGGACGCTCTACCCCTGAGCTACACCCCCGTTGCCACCACTCGGAAAATGATGGTATAGTAAAAATTGTTCGAATGTTCGGAGAAAATGGTGGGTACGGCGACAAAGAATAGGTGCTTCACAATTAAAATAGTGGACAGTCCGAGACTTTAGTGGGCACAGAAATGCGAAAAAGAACCTTTTCGCAATGGAAACCGTTCATGTTCAGTTTGTACTCGTACCAGCCTGGAGTTTCTATCGGAAGGTTGACGTTTGGCGGAGCGACCGAGGTTCGCGAAGCCCATGCTGTGGTGATACGCCAAAGGTTGTACTCAGAAGTAGAACCATGGGACCCACTGCAGGAGGGTAGGAAAGACTCCGCTTGCTGAGCGTCGCAAACCTTGTACATAGTCAACGAACGAAAGTACAGAGCAGGAGGAGTCAGGCAGTTCTACCTCGCTTTGGTCTAGCTCCTCGCTCTTCATTGCGAAGAACGAAGAATGCGAGACCTACAGCCAACAATTTCACTGAAGGATGTCCAGTACTGCTGGAACCTATTCATACAATACATTATTTCAATGCCAAAAAACTACTAGTGTCGGCAAGGAAGAAGAATGGACAGGCACCACACAAAGTTACCAGATACTCAACTTCGTCAGATGAACGTACCATACGAAAAGTAAGGTTGTGAAGGCTGGTAAGGACCATAAGTCATTCTTTTTACAGAACTCGACTCTTTCTCTTGATTGAAAGAAAGACCCTGATCGTAAAGGTACAAGGTACAATACTCGTAGTGTGAAAGATAGTCTTTAATTAATGTGTGCGGACCGGGACGGCGTACTGTTGCAACTTTGCTGGTGGAATAGCGGAGCTCTACTACCAACAGTGTTCGCTTCCTACAGGACATCTGGCTGGTGCGCTCGATGATAATTTCGACCGCCATTGACTTTACCCGTGATAAAAATCTCTAAAAATAACCAAATCGGTCTATTATAATTCCCGGAAACGATAATTAATAACACGTGGCCAATTATTCTCTAAAAAACCAGTATCTCAAAGCCTCTTCTGTGGCATCGTTTGGTTGCACTTCATGAGATCTGAAGAGCCTCACTTCTAAACACAAGTATTGACACAATGACAATGAACGCTGAGTACATAGAGCAATCCCCAGGTTGCATGCGACTATGCAATCAAGCAGGAAATATTCCTGTATTTACAACCAACGTGAAAAAGGAAGATGTGGATACCTTGTTGACCGAAGGGATGACGCGACTCACCTTTGAAGAGTTGCAGCAAGAACAAGAAGACTTACACGGAGTCTCGGCGACGATTTCCGAGGAAAAGGTGGAAGTCAAAGTCTTGCTAGATAGACTGGACGAGCATCTGAATAGAATGAAAATGGGAACCGCGTTTGCTTGCGCCCAGTCGCTGAATCGAGATTTTTGCCAAAACTATGATTTCCGCATGATGTTTTTAAGGGCAAACCGATACGACCCAAAGGTTGCTGCCAAACAAATAATCAGATTCTTGGATATCAAATTGGAGCTTTTTGGTCTGGAAAAACTAACTGAAGAAATTACGCTGAAGGACTTAACTGTGGAAGACAAGGAAGACTTGCTCGCGGGAAGCTTCCAACTCTTGCCGTTTACGGACCGTGCAGGAAGAAGTATAGTCCTGGAAATTGCAGGACTTAGAAGTGGCAAAAGTCTTTTGAGTGAACTGAGAGCTCGATTTTACCTCGGTATGAATGCAATCAAGTCTTTGGAGATTCCAAGTCGTGGGATTGTGTTTATTAGTTATACTGCAGGAAAATACCGAGACAAGCTGAATGGTGCAGGCTTTGTTGAAAATGCTAAAGTTGCCCTGTCGCTGCCGTACCATATAGCTGGGTTTCACTATTGTGTGGATGAAGCAATCTCGGTTGCGATTGCCAAGGCCGGGATCACCATAACTCCGGACAAGTTTCGCTCAAAGATAAAAATTCATCATGGTTCCCCTGTCGAATGTCAGTATAATCTGTCGACATATGGCATTCCACCAGAAGCGTTGCAATTTGCAGTGAACGACAACGAAGACATGTTGGACAATCATCTAAGCTGGTACGAAGATTGTCTCCGGCAAGAGTCCACAGTTGAAGCATCATCACTGAGAGATCCAAACAAACATGAACCAAATACGAATGATGTTGTTTTCATTGGAAAAAAGACAAAGGGCAATGGCAATGAACGTTTGCGACGTCTAGCATTGCGTCATTCCAGTCCATACTCTTTGGGAGGCCCCAAAGAGAAGAGAGAACTAGTGGACTCCATGATAGCTGAAATCAAGCGAGGTGGAGGCAGATTCCTCAAGCAAGACTCGACCGGTTTATGGTGGGAAGACGTTCCAATCAGCGAAGTTCGCGAAAAGATTACTCAAATGTTTCGGAATTTGCGTCGTCCAAGCGGATCGCAACAAAGGGCAGCGGCGAATACTGAAACGGGAGGTGGGCGGATTACTGTGGGTGAACCGACTGAGAATGATGTCTTGTTTGGAAGACAGTTCAATCAGGCAGGAAACCTGCGACTTCGAGAACTTGTAGAGGGAATGGCCTTGGAATACGATGCGTCCAATAGAGGTAAAAAGAAGAAGCTTGCAGAGTCCATAGTGAAGGAGATCAAGGGCACTGGGGGAAGATTCCTAAAACCGATCAAGGACGGTGGGCAATGGGAGGAGGTTTCCGATGTAGCAGCTGGAATCAAGATTGCCACACACTTTCGCAACTATCGAAGGTGCCAAAAGCCAAAAGATACTATCTAGAGAAATAAAATGACAAGATGTATTGCCTACTGGTAGATACATATCGTTTGTATTTGGTTTTATTAAATGGCATTGATCTACAGTATGTCTCCGAAAAAAACAGACAAGGTATTCATGGAAAATGTACTGGTTCAGAAGGTAACCCGGAGTCCTAACCTAAAAATGACGATTACATACAACAACAATAGTGATAGACTGCATACTATGGTAGGATGAGATGATGGTCAACAGCAATGGTGGTGACGAAATGAAGAAGGACCGTGCCAAAGCACGTTGGTCCATATTAAGGAATGCGTTGTTACAGAAAGCGCAGTCTTCGAACGAACATTCAATTCACAGATTTGCAGGATATCAACTATTGGAGCCAACCACCGCCAGTGAAGGAACCACTAACGAAGGCTACAAAATCCTGGAAGGAGCCCTAAAGCTTCACGCATTTGATGACCAATTATCGCTTGACAAGAATCTTGATAGATTAGAGTTCAAAGTTTACGCTCTGGCTGCATTTCATCCCAATGGCAAGTGTCTCGATATTGCAAAGGTACCATCTTCAGTATCCACTGAACTTATTGGAAAGCTAAAAGAAAGGTGCCAATCTGTGGTTCATCTGCTTGTGGTCGACGATAAGAATCCGCCAGAGAAGATTACAATCTTGGTGCAAGAATCTTCCAAAACATTGACAAAATACACCTGCCGTCAGTACAAACTGGACGAGTCTTGTAGTTTGTTCACACGAGAACCATTCGAAACAAAGTTGTCGATACAAGATCTCGTCAGTCACCGCACGACTGGAGTCGATAATACAGGAAATATATGTGTATGGGACTCGGAACGTACACTTTCCTTCCTTCTCTATCACCACCTTGACGCCTTTTTGTCGTTGTTCAAAAACTGCAATGGTATACGGTCAGCACGACGAATACTGGAGTTGGGAACTGGAATGGCAGGACTGGCAGCCATTGCTCTAGGATTACGCTTGGTACAAGACAACAGCGAGGCTTCGTCATCAACAAGGATTGATGTTACCCTGACTGATGGGCATGCAGAAGGAGTGAAGAACAATGATGTGAACCAAGTATTGACGAAAGCCTTTTGCTCGGAAAACAGCAAGCACCCCTATCATTCTCTTTCTATTGAAACCAATTGCTTACTCTGGACCACTGAGCTGGAATCCAGTCTACCTGAGCAGCAAGATGTAGTCCTAATCTCGGACTGTGTTCACTTTCAAAACTTTCATGCAGCTTTGGTAGCGACAACTCTTCGATCGCTCTGTGTTGGAGGGATTGCCCTCTTTTGTCAGCCAAAACGAGGAGATTCGTTGGACAATTTCGTAAGCCTGCTCGCATGTGTGGGAGATAATGACTTGGTATCGATAAAGTGGATTCAACATTCAGCAATTGAAGAGGCTCATGAGAATGCATCGAGTCAACACAACGACGTGTACGACGAGAATCTGCACTATCCAAAGTTGCTAGCAGTGACAAAGCTGAGAGATTTGACGATAGAAGATTGCCAGAGATTTGAGGATCATCAGAAAAGTAGAAACTAATCAGGACTCCCCCCTTCGTTTCCATTACTCTATGATCGCATTTGCTTCTTGTCTTTTGGCACTTCCAAACAGCGTTGGCTCAGGCCAAGTTCTACCCACAGCTAGATCAGTCATATCTTGAAGGTTTTCTCGAGGATGGAGTATCAGCTTCCATACCAAGGAGTACCGTGGTCTATTGCCTGCACTTTCATTTGGCGCAACTACCGTGTGGCTGCAGTCTTGATCCATTACTACGCATCGACCTGGCTTGGGGGTGACACCATAGAGCGTGTCGGTTGGTAAATCCAAAAATCGAGTTTGGGCTCCCCACTCTTCTTCCCATTCATCGTTCAGGTACAATAGACAGCTCATGAAACGTGGTTTCCCTCGGATGCGATTTGGGTAGCGACCATACACGTCAGTCCAAGGAGATGGTGGTGTCTGGTTTGGATCTCCATCAATATGAATCGAAAACTCGTCCTTGAAAGTTGGAGCGTTCGCTGTAAGTGGCGAGACTGTTTCACCAAAGACAGCTTCTGGCAATCTCGTCACAATGAATTGTGGGAATAGTTGCGACAAGATGCATTCAAACTCTTGAATCGCATCGTGATGATGAAAGCAAATGTCCTCAATAGCCTCGTCGGATAATCCCCAAGACGTACTCGGTATCGGTGCTGCTTCATCTTCTTCTTCTTCATCTGGAATGTCAATGAGGCCACCTCGTACCCATCGTTCTGGATTTGGTCCATTTCCGACATCGTCCCAAGTCTCTTCACTACTTGTGGTGCCTAAAGTGACGTCGAGGAGACCTTTCCTCAAGTCATCACTGACTAAATTGTCAAATATCAAAACTGAACTAGTATCCCAAACCTGTTCTTGCGACCATACGTCCGTCACAAAATCACCATCGAGCTCCACTTGAATGGTGGGTGTCAATGCAGATTCTGGTAGGCGTGCCGCTTCGGCAGAAATTGGCAATGGAGTGATCATTTCGTACATGAAAAATTGATCGTGTACAAGGCCGTCAAGTAGTTCCTGCAGGTCAGTATCATTCGTGAGGAGGTCTTCGGCTTGCTGAATGGAGACAAGGATTGGCTGCTTCAGCAATATTTGTTCTTCACTATACAACTGCTGATCGATTGCTTGGGCGACAACATATTGAATTACTTCATCCATTCCTTCACCATTTAGCTTGTCGCCAATTGATAGAATTAGTGCTCTTCCAGTTGTCCCCACCACTGCATCAGGGGCAGGATGAAGTGAGACTGACGATGAATCATTATCGTATTCAAATTCAATATTGATATTTGCAAATCGGTCGTCATATTCTTCCCACTCAGATAGTGAAACTGCCTCTTGAATGACCCTGAGTATCAACTGGAGCTCAGATTCACCAATACCACTAGCAGCGATAGGTTTTATCATTGCTGCACCTGGCGCTGTGGTTTTTCCCGTTTCGTTCTTAACTTCATCCTCATTTCCTTTTGCAAGACGACATGAAGGAAATTTTGTGGAATCGCGTTGCTTAAGGACGTGTAGGCGATTGAATGATGACTGACCAACTAAACAAGAAGCCTGCAAACAACACAAAAGCCCAATGTAGATCAGTAGGGCCTTCCGTATCATGGTGGTATTATTGTACCGGTAGAATTTTTTTCAAAAAATGGTTTGATGGTTGCCATCATCACGATTGGCTCCAATTAGTCGGGGATTGCTGACATCACGCACGCACTCGCTCGCACGACAGAATTTCGAAATACTCATTCAACGCATTAGTGATTCTCACAACATGAAGCGACCTCGCAATCATCATTTACAAGGAGACTATTTGAACGATGAGGTTTTCGTTTTTGAATCTAACACGGAAGAACAATGTGGAATATGAAGTAGCCCCTTTGTACCAGATTGAAAGAAACCCCAATGTACCACAGCTGCCGCTTTCCGTGATGTTGAATATCACATCCTATGTCAACGACCGAAGAACTTTTAATCATCTGACGCTTGCCTGCAAAGACTTGAGAAGTCTTACTTCCGATAACAGTGGCTTGGAATTTTCAAGGCGACAACGAGGAACAATACCACCACCATGGCCATGTACGAGATTTTTCAAACCCAAAGCGAGTGCCAGGTGGGTCACCTGTGCCAAATTTTCTCCCGACGATCAAATGTTGGCGGTAGCGGCAGGCCCTGTCAAGTTTTGGAACAGACAATTGGGGCAAATTGTTTCCAGAGGAAATAACAATGTCCGCAATACCTCAAGTCTTACCTTAGGATTTGTGGGAAACGATCACCTGGTGACAGCTTCGAAACGTACTTTGAGCGTATGGAATTTGAGGGAGGACGGGGTGGAAGAGTGTCAAGCTCCACTCAAGAAACCTGTGGTGCAAATGCTGATACATATGATGTCATGTAATTCTTCTGGAGAACCCTCGTCGACATTAGTGATAACTTGGGGATATCACGGAATATTGGAATTGTGGCTTTTGTCAGCAGATCGCCGTTCGATTCAATTGGATGTGACCATCGACTTGGACCAACTCGATGGTGCTTCCTCAGAGGTAGTATCAGTATCACCATGTGGGACAATGATTGCCTATTGTAGGAATAACTATGTCGTGGACATTAAAAAGCTCGAGCTTGGAAGCAACGGAGATGGCGAGGACGATGGCGCTTCCAAGATTTCGTTCCAGAACCTGTTTTCAGTGCAAACCGAAAATCGGCAGGCACCTTACACTTTAGTACGATTTGCACCCGATGGCAAGACGCTACTACTGGGTTCCGAAGATGGAACTTTATTATTCTACAGCATCGAAACGAAAAGGCGTGTCCACGACATGGTTATTAAGAAGAACAAGTGCATCAATTGCATTGCCTTTTGTGATTTAATGGTAGCCGTGGGCTGTGGATCCAAGATTTATCTTTTCCGCCGTGGCGATTTGGATCGATATGACACATTGTTCTTTGATCGAACATTGCGGGGACACAGTGATCGCATCGAGTCTCTGGATTTCACTCGGGATGGACGGAATCTAGTCTCGGCTGGTGACAAGACCTTTATTATTTGGGATGTTCACTCGATGGATGCACTGAGTTCTGTGTAAATGCCTGTGTGAAGAGCATTGAATCCAAGGGGGTTGATTGATTCATAATGGGATATTTCATGTGCACCGGTATTGGTTGAAGTATCATGCATGGTTACTAGAAAGATATTATTAAAAGTGTGTTATTCTATTCGATATATAGTTTAAAAAATATCTCTAACAACTCCAATCATCCCCCCATTCAGATTCATCTTCTGGGAATTGTTCACTTCCTTTTCGAATCACATTGGCCGTCAATGACACGCCTTCCACTCCCCATCGTTCCCGATTGGCCATGACTATATTGGCAAAGATCCCCCCTCGTTCCGTTCCAAACACGCCCGTATCGTCCAATCGCCGAGCCAGTGGCAAAAGATAAGCCTCCAAAAATCCAATTTGGTTGTTGTACCACCCATCGGTTGGATCTGCCCCTCGCCCCATGGCATGGGCCTTGCGCAACTCTAGGTACAATTTGTTGGACCACTTGGCCATTTGTTCCCACCCCTGGAGGTTGTGCGCGACATCACAAGCCAGCAATATCGTTTCCATGACGACCATTTCTCGCAACTCGTTGAGTTCTTCATGTGACTTTGTCGGTGCCGCCGCCGACTTTTGTCCATTTTGAGGTGGTGGCAAACCACCCACGGCCGAAGCACGTCGGGATGGTTTGTAGTGGTCAATTTGCTCTCCCGTCAGATCCACGGTACGCAGCAATCCCAATCGTGTATATTTTCGTTTCGACTCGTCTCCACCGTCTTCGGACAATCGTCGACGATATCGATCGGCCATGTCCGCCATCCTTCGTTCTTCCACGACGCTTCCTGATTGAGAATCATTGGATCGACGTTGTCGCATAGCATTACCAACACCTTTTAGAGGTGCCATCAAGGCCCCGCCTAAATCTTTGTTGATGCGAGGGACTCGATTGCGCGTCCTAGTTTGTTTGGGTGACAGTGGAATGCCTTTGGCACTGAGCGGATTATGGTAGACTTTAAACTGAGAGGCTTTGGATGGGATTCTCACTGGTCCGCTGGTGGATGATGCCTCGGAATGAGAAGTAGCAGAAGCTGATCTTGGTCGTTTGGCTAGGGTCTCGCCATCTGCTGGTGCTGCCACTGGTGGTGCTGGTGGTGGACCGGGTTGGTCCGCATCATTTAGCTCAATTTCTTCCTCCTCCTCGTCGTCTTCTTCGTCCGAATCTTTTGGGTTTTCCTCCGTCGAAGACTCTTCATCTGGCGAAAGCGACACACTACTATCATCTTTGAGCACTTGGTTATCCATCATTCCGGGTATTTTGGGATGCGAATCAAAGGATAGATCGGACATGATGGACTGAGTACTCATTCTCCGACTGGTCCGTGTGGGCGCGGGTCTTGCACTGGCCATGCTGCTACCGATGGAAGATTTTCGAGCACGTCGGACCTTGCGTTCAATGGTTTCGTAGGGATCCCCAAAGGCTTCCTTCCATTTCGATTTGATGAGTTGGGATCGTTCGGGATCGGCAATGTCCGTGCACAAGACCAAATTGACGACCGCCTTGCGAAATCGTCGGTAATCTTGATCGTGGGGAAAGACGGCTTCCCGAAATTCCTTGTAGCGTGGCTTCAATAGTTCGGAAAAGGCAAAGTATAGCGAGTTCTGTTCGGCAATGGCCGTGTCATTGTAGAGTACGGCCAGTTGATCATCTTCATTGGCCAATTGTCGGTTGGGAATTCCCTGATGATGAACATCGTGAACGAGTGCGGCAAACATCATGGCCATTTGCATGAGGGGATCGTCTTTGAATCCATAGGTATCGGGAGGAGGATTATCAAGGCTCTCGGGATCGTACTTGCTGAGGGGCTCCAATATCATATCCATGACTTTATTGACGGATATGGAAACGTGGTAACAATGTTCCAAATTGTGATAGGGGACTTTCTGATAATTTTCCAGCATTCGTCCAACATACAATTTCACTTGATCCATGACTTGCTGTGTGACGGATGCCGGCCACATGCCCTTTTTGGCAATGATTTCCTTGGCAATCGTCGTCGTGGAAAGGTCCGTATAGGTGCCTTCCGGCTGAATCCAGCCCACCATCCGAATGAGCATCAAGGCCGTCAATCGATCCACCAAAGTATCCAAATCCTTGGTGGGTGCAATATTTTTGGGATTCTTGCTAATGCCTTGTTCTCGCCATTCCGGTTCCGTAATGGCCAAGGCTAGTTTGACGGCTTTGGTAGCGGGAGACGCCCCTGCCTTGAAGGAGAAGGTGAAGGAAGATCCGCTACCTCGCCGGGGGATCTTCATTGTTTATGGAACAAGTTGATGGATGGAAATTAAATGTGCGTGGCTTCTGAAGTAATGAATCAATGCATATATATGAGTACAGTGGAATATATTAGTCTACGAAGCAGTTTGGGCAACTGTTTGTAGCTTATATATGATGTTGGATTATATATTTTGGGTGCATGTCAATCTTGAGTTTCGGCGAGAGCGGATCGATCAGTGAGACATTTGATTCAAATGACCCACGCATCCAGGAAAAGGACAGACGTGATGACGGTCCTGTACATTCCTACGTACAACGCCCCCCGCCAAATTTGTGACCTATTCAATCGTTTGAAGCAACAATTTGAAAGTTCCTCGTGTTCTCTTGTCTAATAGGAACTACTATACAGTACAGACCTTGTAATACCAATAATCAATCTTGCAGGAACATCGGGGTTCCCATAGAAAAAGCAAGTCTACAAGTCTTTCTATTTTATAATACTACTAGTACACCATGGAAGTCGAAGTTCCCTTTGATGAAGTCTGTCAACCAGAAGCAGCATCAGCAGCTTCAGCATCATCCTCTGCTGTACCGGTAGCGATCCAAGAAGAAGGATACGCTGCAGAGGAAAACAATAATAATCAAGAGGAAGACGACGAGATTCCAGATCTACGCCAAGAGAGTATCCTCACTTCGGGTTCCTCACTGGATGGCAGTGAAGCGATTTTTCGACCACACAAGGACGCAAAGTCGAGCAGTTTGATGACGCAGGAACAACAAGATCATCATGATCATCATGAGGAGGAAGAAGACAATCTTCCAGATTCTCCAACTGCTAGTATTGTCTCTTCCAGTTCCTCGTTTGAGGAGGAAGATGACGAAGATGATGATAGCGTGGATGACGAAGATGACAACAGTGTCGCTAGCAGCACGGGAAAAGTCGACCTCAAGGATTTTGACGATCGATACGATCGCGAAAGTGTCGCCTTTGCTCTGGTGGACAAAATGTGTGCACCCGTAGATATGGTGTGTTCGCCCAAGCATCAATTGGATGCTGTCCATGATGATGATAATGATGGTATCATTCGTCGAAGGGAACGAAATGAAGAAGATGATAGTTATACCTTCTTTCCCAGAAAAAAGCAAGAACCTAAATTTCCACTCGGGTATGCGGCGTGTGCCAGCGAAGAAGCGCCCAAATCAATCATGTCGGAAGCATTCGATTCTTGGAATTCTTTGCTACAAAAGATGGGGAGCCAATTGACGGTACAAGAGTTTATGGAACAGCCTGCTCCTAGTTTTCAATCGGCCGCGAGCACCGGGTCGCAAAAAGAGAGACAGGTAGTACTGTAAGTATCAAGAACAACACAATGATCTTGATGAAATGAAAGGGGAAGAAGACAAAGTTGATTTGTCGCAAGAAAGAACGGGGAGATGTGTCGATGAAATTGCTGATTTAATAGTTCTTGGGGTATACAAAAACTCAGTAGAGAAATACTTGGATAAACTTGGATAATAAAATTCATGAGAAATATATAATCATTCACAATTTCAATTGAAATTCATTATTAATGAAGATTACGTGCAAGCTGTGTCCTTGTTTTGTTCTAGACTCGTGTGTCTTATGTCGACTTGTTTGTCTCTAGGCCACATCTATGGCTATAAGAGCGACAGACAGATAAAAAAGAAGAGGTTAGCTAAACCTTCTTCTTCAAGTGTTCGATTCATTCATACAAGGACTGCAAAAGTCTAGGTAGCTAATCGGTTTTTTCAATGACACCAGCGTCCAACAAGGAGTAGAATGCTTTGTCTTCCACAGACATGGAGGCAAAGTCTCGTTCTGGTGGAGCTTCTGCCTTGGGCGCTGGTTCTGGTTCGGGAGTGGTCTCCTCTGCAGCAGCACCAACCACTTCTGGTTCGGGAGTTGCTGGTGCTTCTTCCACAATCTCAGCATCAACCACTGCTTGTGTATCCACAGGAGACGACTCACCTGCTGATTCACCAGCTGCCTCTTGTTCTCGTGCTAATGACTCTGCGGCCAATTTTTCCATCAATTCTGCATCGAATTCTTCTTCACCAGCAAATTCAACCTCAAAGTTGGAGTTCTCGGCCAACAAGTCCATGACAGCCTCCCGTTGAAGGGTAGCTTCGACGCGGCTTCGAATTTGAGTTTCGTCGAAGTCTTCCTTGGACTCGGCAGCTTCTTGTCGGATGGATTCCATTTGTTCCTCTACTTGGTAATCGGGAACCTCAACTCCTTCCATTCTACCAATCTCATCAGTGGCCATGGAGACCTTAAAGTCGCGGACAATATCATCCTTGACAATCTTCTTGTACTTCAAAAAGTTCTCTGGTTTGATTTGATTCTTGATCTCTTCATCTGGAACACCGCTATTTCGCATGTCAGTCATCATCATGGCAAACTTTTCACGAGCTTGCTTGGTGACAAGAGTATCAGGAACCTCCACGTCCATAACTTCGGCCAAGGCCTTGGCAATGGCAGCGTTTCTGGCGGGACGGAATTCCTTGGAATCCTCACTGTCGACAGCCTTTCTCAATTCTTCCTTCAAGCTTTCAACAGTCAAACCAGCGCGGACCTTCTCGGCGAATTCGTCAGTAAGTTCGGGAAGCGTGCGTGTCTTGGCCTCCGCAACGGTAACATCAAAGATGGCAGCCTTTCCTGCTAAGGTCTTGTCTTTCAAGGCCTAATGTAATGGGAAAAGAATGATTTGGAAAGGTGAGATTTTCTTATTCGTTGTCAAGAAACAGACAGATCCTGATCAGCCAACAACAAATACTCACCTCAGGGAATGTAACCTTGATCTCCTTGGTCTCTCCGACCTTGGCTCCAACAAGACCTTCCACCAAACCAGTCATGTACCGACCAGTTCCAAGGATGACCTCAACGTTGTCTCCACTGGCAGCATCGGGCAACTTTTCACCCTTTTCTCCAGCCTCGTTGGCCATCCAACCTTCCATGTTGACAATACAAGCATCTCCCATTTGCATTTCGTGGTCCTTATCTGTGATAGGTGCAAGTTCGGCATATCGCTCCAAAAGATCATTGATTGCCTTGTTGAACTTCTCGTCATTGAAAGGCTTACGGGTGTACTTTCCTTTCAGTCCGAAGTATGGCTTTTCTTGTCCCTCAATTTCTTTCCATTCAATATCGGGCCAAACATCACATAGAACATCCAATTCCAAATCTTCACCAGGCTTGAAGTTTTTAGCGACTTCTTCCGAGTCTTGTTCCAAAGTTGGCTGTCCGATGGGCTCCAAGCCGTGGTCCTCCTTCAAGGCAGGCTCGATCAATTCTCCCAAAAGCTCTTGGATGGCTTGTGTTCGAAGAGCGTATCTTCCACCCTTTCCAGCCATGGCATTCTCCAAAACGGCAGGTGGAATCTTGGATCCCTTGCGGAATCCTGGAAGAGTGATGGTCTTCGACAATTCGTTGCAGACCTTGTCAAAGGCAGCCTTTGTGGATGATCCAGGGATTGAGAGCGTCACCTTGACAGAACTTTCTGGCAGACGTTCCAATTTGGAAGCATCCAAAGACAAGTGGCGTGTGAAAGCCACCTTTTGTGGGACAAAGGCCTCGGTGGAGGAAACCAAAAGAGCCAAGACAAACAACCTAAGCTTCATGTTTTTTAAATAGGTAGACAAAAGTGGAAATGCAGCTTGAAGATTGATGGGTGTCGATTTGTTCTACCGTTTTGATGGCTAGCTGTTCGTCCTCGTATGTCAGTCGAATCGAAATTGGGCCAATCAAAACGCTTCATTCTCTAGCTAAAATTCGCGCTATCTTCGCGCATTGACCTTCTCTTCGTCACAGAAAATCTGGACACGGGGAAGAATGATGGATACTTGTCCAAAATTATACACTCTTGACCAGCACACGCGAGAGAAGATGCCACCATTGCAACCACTGATACGGCGACAAGATTCGGATACAAGGGGTCGCCACTTGGCGGCTGCCGTTCAGATTTCCAAGGGAGAGCTTGTATTTTGTGAGCGTCCAATGATCTCCCTGCAATCGACAGGAAACGTGTTTTCTGGTGCTCTGACTTGCCACTACTGCGGGACTTTTATTGGCACACCAGAACAAGCGCTGACGATTGCGACAGATCCCATGCAACTGCCGAAAATTGCAACTTCGGAGGATCAGCAAGAGATTGGCGATCATTCAATAGTGCCTTGCCAAGACAAATGTGGAGCTGTTTATTGTTCGACAGAATGTCAAATGGACGACTTTGAGTTTGGGGGGCACAAGGAGCTTTGCACAGGACTTATCGAAGAAGAGAATCATCCACTTGTTGCATTCAAGAGACATGCAATTGAATCAAACGAAATCTTTCTCTTGATTGCCCAATGGATTGCAAGAATACACAATCAAAAGGTACCCTATCATGACGACGAGAACCAAAACACACACCCATATACCGATTTCATGATGACTCCATGGTGGGATGTGGTATCTATCAAGTCACCATTTGAAAAATCTGCCTCCAGTGATACAGAGATCGAGGAACTAGTAGAATCGTGCAAACGTCTTTGCAAGGAATCTCATGCCTTTTTGCAACAGGCATGGTCCGAACACAAGGACTCCAAATGGCTCACACCACTAGGAATGGCGCGATTGATTGGAAGTCTGGAGCAAAACTGTGTCGGAGGTATGTGCTGGCAATACGTGTGCTTGATTATTTCTTTGTTGCCTTCCTGACCAAGATTTTCGATTTGACTGTCGTTAAAGTTAGGCGGAAACATGCGTTGAGAATGAATATCCTAGAAGATGAAGATTTTCGACAAAGACATCATGAACAATTGCTAATATGTTTAGAAAGTGCTGGTATGACTGGTGATGGCTGTGGTGACGAATGCTGTGATGATGATGAAGAGGAAGGCGAAGAGGCTGTGGAAGCGGAGGAAGACGAACAGCCAGAAAATGACGAGGAACCCACCAGCAAGCCTGCTTCGGCAGAAATTTCCAACGAGGAAGCAAGGGAAGGTGTAGAAGAGGATGGGGAAGAGGACGTAGAATATTCGGTGGAGGAATTAGCAGAATTCTTCTCAAATTTTCCGTCTCCTTTGAAAACTGGCGCTGATGATGAATGGGACGACATCATTACACCAATGGATGGCACGGCTCATTATTCCACGTTGACCAAAATGAACCATGATTGTACTCCCAACATTGTTGTCTTGTACAAGACTCGTGGATGGGGAAGAAATCATCCTTTAGTGGCGTACTGTGTAGCCTTGAAAGACATTGCTCCAGGAGAAGAATTGACCATTAGTTACATCAAGACCGATCAATCATACAATGAACGACAGTCGGCACTTTCCAACTATGGCTTTCTCTGCGAATGCAACAAATGCAAGGATGAGTTGAAGAACCCCAAGGCATCAGAGAGCGATGAAAAGAATGCCCTCGAACAGGAGGAGGAGAACCTGTTTGGTTCAGATTCGGAAAGTGAAAATCCAGAGGCGAAAAATGATGATGTCAATGACTTGTTTGGGAGTGACGACGAGGATGACAAAGATGAAAATGATGGCAATGCTAGGGAAGCGGAAGGTGAAGATGCGGAAAACGACGTCGATGGCGAGACGAAACTTCAGAATGCTTTGGAACGATTCGAGGAAGACTTCAACAAGTCCACAACCGCAAGCATCCCGTTGAAGTACTTTGCACCAGCTTCGACACATGTCATCAAAATTTGCTCTTCTGTACTGAATGAAATGGCAATTTACGATAAGAGCAACACGGATGATTCTATTCTACGGATACGCGAGTACTTGTCCAAATGCTTGGCTGCAGTTCGTGGCCGACATTTTGTTCACTGCCTTCGTATGGGTACCAACTTGGAGTCATTCTTGTATCAGGAACTCCAAAGCAAGGGATCTTGGCCCGCAATGTGGTACCGACATGCCTATTGGTTTGCTTGCATTTCGGCGGCTATTGGCTATGCCCACGAATGTAGCTTTTTGATTGCCATGCAATACTTGGACAAGGCTATGATCATGGGACAAGAGCGCCAATCTCCCATCTTGGAGGGCTTGATTTCATATGTGGAACACTTTGCACACCAAATGGCGGCGGCTCCGTGTCCACCCTGCACCGAGGCGACCGTCATCAACATTCAGGAACATGAGGAAAGATTGCGATCGGTGGGTCTTTCCAATCCGATACAATTCCCGGCAACCGTCGCACGAACCAAGAATTTTGGTGACTTTGTCGAGAGTCTAGGATCCCAGTCCAAGCCAGTTGTCATTCGTCGGTTTGCCAATGATTGGGAGGCGGTTTCCAAGTGGCGCGATTTGCGAGACTTGGCGCGCGACCATGGACATCGACTGGTCCCCATTGAGGTCGGATCCATGGACACTGGCATGAAGGAAGAATTGGTATCCTTCCGCACCTTTGTGACATCTTACTTGGCCCCGAGTACTCAATCCGTTTGTACGAGTCTGAAACAAGCCACAGACCCCACGTCGTCCATTGCTTATTTGGCGCAGCACCCGTTGTTGGATCAGATTCCATCATTGTATCAAGATGTTCCTCACCAACCCTATGGACTAAAGCCAACGAATGTAAATGTTTGGATGGGCACTGGAGGCACTCGGACGCCCTTGCATTTTGACAGTTACGACAATGTCTTTTGTCAATTGGTCGGTGCCAAGTACGTGCGCTTGTACGACAAATCCGAAACCTCCAACTTGTATGTGAGTAAGGAAAGCAAGTATGGATTGCAAGGCAACATGAGTGCCGTCAATTGCGAAATGGAAGATTTTGAGAAACACCCCAAGGCCAAGAAGGCCAAGTATACCGAAGTGTTGTTGCTACCAGGGGATGCAATATTCATTCCGGCACGATGTTGGCATTACGTCCGATCTTTGAGTACCAGCATCAGCGTCAACTATTGGTTCTAGAAGAAAGAGAGAGAGAGAGAGCATATTGTAAAATGTAATCCTTTAGTCTTAGCACAATGAGTCATGATTTAGTACAACATGACGACTTTCAATTTTTTCCGTCGACTGCAAACAACTTATACACTACTGTGTATCGTGATGATTTACATTTCCCCTCCTTCGTAAAAGACTTCCGACCACTCGCCAGCGACAGCATTGCCTTCGTAGTCGCCAACACTGTGACTGAACATAAGAGGATCAAACCCTTGATTTTGACTCGAAAAGTAGACACTCCAGTTGCGAGGAAGTCGGTGTTTGTTTTTGTGTTTCTTTTTCTTTAGCTGCCGAAGCTTTCGTTGGGCTCCGTCATCCACAGGTTCCGCAGGAGGACTTACAGGTTCCTCAGGTTCAATAACATCCACAGCAATGGTATCGAGGCCACGATTGATGCTTTTGTACAAATCGGTTCCCTTAACATCATACACGTATTTGAGTTGCCACATTGGTTCAAATACGTTGGGATAACGACGGGGGCACGAGTGACAAGCCAAGTTGCGTGCCAATTTGCCAATGAATTCGTGCTTCCAACTGATCAGAATGGTTTTGCCACACATGTCACCGGTGGCAATGTCCGCCAAGACGACTTTGGCCAACTCGGCACTCTCCCAATATTGATCATTGACGGCGACCCCTGCCTTTTGGGCCAATGGCTTGACCATCTCAATTTCTCTGAAATTCTGGTGGCTACCGCGATCGGCACGGAGGGCATAAATTTGAGCAGGAAATGGATATTTGCTCTTGTCCACATCACTAAACATCGTTGCAAAGTAAGCAGCCCGTTCATATCCAATATAACTGCAGTGACTGTTTCCAAAGACATCCTTGGTTTCGGATCCTGCTTTTTCGCAGTGACGTGCAATCACCACGGTAGTTTCGCAGCCCGATTCCACACTGTCCAGAGTCATTTCGTCAAGCGAAAACAGAGCATCATAGACCAACCACTTCGAGACTCCCACCTGGCCTCCCAGCATGGCAAACATGAGTCCCAAAAAGACGACAGTGATGAGGACACCCATGGTGCAAAAGATGCTCCTTCGGAATCTCTTTCGACGTGCGTAGGCTTCAGGAGTTACATTGGCTTCTTCAAGGTTTTGAGGAACAGCTCCGTAGCTGGCTTTCTTGTTTTCGCCCATCCTAATGAAGCTTTTATAATGTCGTGGTTGATTGATTGATTGATTGATCAACTCGTATACCTATGCACCACCAACCAGAAAATAAGACGGACCTCTGAACTTCGGTGCAATTTCAGATTTGGGTGAAGGGGGTGACAATGGCAGACTCGAGAAGAAGATTCGTTCGCAGATTCGGGACTGCGTGTCACACAAGACGTCGTCAAGATTGGAACTCTCGCCACATATGTGGAGTCTAACTTTCGGATCCTGTAGAGTCGAAAATCGACCCGACGGATCACTGTGATCAAGCTGTGATCACTCGGAACGTTCAGTGCGCGAAAATATTGCGTATACTTCTACGCAAAGATACTACCAACGTTTTCGTTGAGCCTTGAACAGGTCGTGGTTGGTGTTCGGCCAAGCATGTTCGACCAAAATCGCCGAAAAATGGCGCGTAATTTTCTTCACCCGGAACTCACTTTTTTTTCAAATCCACGACTCTTCCTTTCCTAGCGTAACTAAACGGCTTCGAAATACATAGTTACACATAAACCTTAAAAGTTTCATTCCCAGTTTCTACACGAGGCCGTTGTTTTCTTCCGCGACAGATTAACTGAATTCAATTATTTGAATCCAGAGTGTCACATAGCGTCACAGAAAGACAACACACAAACAGAGCACACAATTCGCTCAAGTGTCGCTTGTTCACCAAAATACACACATCATGTCAGTTCATCTATCCATCCTTCGAAGGTCTGATCTGGAACGACCCAAGGGTATCCATAAGCGAGCCCGTACTAGCTCTACTGAAATGGTAGACTCAGACGATGAGCATGATGATACTATGATTGTCTTGAGACCGCAAGAAGGACAGCCTATCAACTGGCACGAACTGATTGTCAATCGAGATCCTCTTTCTCTGAACAAGGATGACATGGAAAAGATTCGGTCTGCCTCATTTTCGTCGGCCGAGAGCACGACTCTTTCGGAAGACGAAATGTCCAGCCTGAATTCTCTCATTGGGCAAACGGAAGGATTCGAATCCGGCTTTGACACCTTTGATGACTTTCTCAACTATTCTTCTTCCAACTTGGACGAAGGGGAAGAAGAATTGATTGGGGATAAGAAAAAGCCCAAAACGAAGAAGCCCAAGTCCAAACTGAAGCGAAAGCTGAAAAAGCTGAAATCCAAGCTGAAGAAGACCTCCTTTCAAGTCAAGAACAAAGTCAAGCAAAGCTGTAGAGACGCAGCGCCCATCCTCAGGGCTGTCGCGAACGCCACTGTTCTCGTCTTTCGAGGTGCCTTGTTCTTGACAGTCAATGTTCTCATTGTCTTGACCCTCATTCTTTCCTTGGCTATTGTCTAAGAAGTGATCAAGACTAGACTATTCAAGGAGCAATCCAATCTAAACACGGATCCATGCTCCAGCTGGAAGCAAGCCTTACCATTCCTTGATGCATGATGAATGGGGATGAAATACAAAAAGGCTCGCCGAAAAATAGAAGAAGGATCTATACAATAGTGTAACTACTACTATGATGAAGGAACACAAGTTCCGTCGAAAAGGGATTCGATCGTGGCGAGCGAGAGCTACCACAACTACAGGCGACTGGAGTGAGTCGACTTTCTTTTACACCAACACGTAGTAGGACTTTTAACACTAACTAAAAGCTATTGATTTTGGTATGATACAATATTATTCCCATTGCCGATTTCAAGAGTAGACAGTTCCAATACATTCGTGCATGGACAGTCTTGCAGTTCTGATTTGTTTGGCATCTTGGTCTCATGCCGCTTCGGATCGGGTTGGAGTTTATAGCGCACCTCCTCCTTCGCTTTTTGTTCCTTGACGTACAGTAGTCCTTTCCTGGTGAAGGGCATCATGCTGTGATACCTAGAGAAGGATGTGACAGGCACTATCTTCGTAATGCCTTTGTCTGTGACGGATTGTCCCGATCGGGGGGGGGGGAGGGGGTATCAAGGGTAAAGCTCAAACATTGAATCCTCACATCAAGATGCAGAGAAGTAGTCGGATGAGTCATACAGGTTTGGTATTTACGTTATGTTACGTTACTTCAAAACTTAAGACAGCTAATTCAAAGTATTATGTGGATGGTTTCGTATAAACTCCTGGGGGATAGTTCTTTCAGTTGAATACTCGTTTGTTTATTACACGAGGAGCCTTCTTATGAACGAACGAATGAATCAATCCTTGATTTGAATTTCCAATCATCTATCATGCGCCAAAACGGTCTGCCAGAATTTCGAGGACCGAATTCTTGTATTGCTCATCGGCAGCCATGTCACGAATGACATCCCACGCCTCCTCGTAGTTTAGATCGTCATCGGTCCTTCTCCAGATTTCTGCTGCATCAGTTGGATCCAAAGGTGGACGTCGATCTGCAGTGGCATCGTATTGTGAGTTATCATAGGGCTTCCCATCTTCCAATTCTGGCAGATTCTCTTCCTTGAACAAGTTCACGAAACTTCGGTCAATGGCATCCTTCAAGTCAAAGACCCACTTTCCTTGAATAGGAAAGCCAAACCGAAACCCAATTGCAGTTCCATCTCCACAAACTAGCAACTTTAGAAAGTCATCTTGTGGAACATAAGCCGTAAGATCGTTCGATTCCTTTGTAGTCTTTCCGGTTAGACACTTGGGCAGATTCTCCACCAAGATTGGACCCGACCGAACGGCAAAGACTCCTGCCTTTGGCGGACTTGGTTTTGATAGGCCTTCAATGACATTGCAGTCGCCAGCAGCAAACACAAAGGGATGGGACACACTTTGCAAATACTGGTTTACCCGAATGTATCCGCGATCTGACACTGCCAATCCCCGATCTCCTAATTGGAAGGCCAATGAATGGCTTTCTGCCCCGGTAGCCCACAAGCAATGCGTACAGGAGATTTCTTCGCCACTTTCGAGAACCACACAGTTGGGTTTGACTTCCTGGACATAGGATTCCTGCCGAACCTCAATCCCACGTTCCTCCATGGCAGCCACGAGAGTCTGACGATTCAGGTCCGTTTCCGACGAAACCAACTCGGATCCAGCGTTCAATACTGTCACACGAATATTGTCCTTACCAACAATGGGCTTCCATCGTCCCATGACACTCATGGAGAGCTCAATACCAGCTGGTCCGCCACCGATCATGACCACATGTATTTTAGCACTAGAATCTCCTGCCCTCAATTTTTGCGTCTCGGCATCAAAACGTTTGACAAGATCCGAAATGGGTCTTGTCGGTATCGTATTTTCCAGTGCACCCTTTGTTGTTTTCAATCCTCGACTTGCCGACCCAATGTCCAAAGATACAGCATCAAAGGAGACTGGATCTTCGTTTGACTTTAGTACTATTTCTTTTCGTTCAAAATCAATATCTACAACTTGGTCGTTGATAAAGTCAATACCGGCCCAGCTAGACAGTGGTTCCAAATGCAAAAGTGTATCTTCCGCTGTGTAGGCCCCGGCAACGCACCCAGGAACCATGCCACTGTAGCTTGCTGACTTTTGTGAATCGATGAGAGTCACTTTCAGATCCTTAGACCGACTTGCTTTGTTCAGAGCTTTGATGACTTGCGCATGAGCGTGGCCACCGCCAACGAGAACCAGGTGTTTTGAATGGCTCATGAGACTATTATTAATATGGCGGTGATGTGTTGTGAGATGGAAGGATGAATAACGAGATATTCTTCTGGAAATTTCCAAGAAACCGGCAGCTGTAGACGCGTTTTCTGCAAGTAAAAGTAATGCTATTCGAGATAGTGTTTTTGCGATAGCAATGAATGATGTTTGCAATACCAAACCCCGTTGCATTCTCCTTATGAAGAGACTATCGGGAAAGTTGTATGATTTGATTCTCATTTTTTCTCCCGAAAAGGCCCTTTATGTAGTCCAGGGAACGACGGTCGGACGACCGTTGGTAACGCCTGTGTGTAGTAACGCCGTCGTTACTCAGAACACCTCACCCCTTCATGTCAACGCACTACTACCAAGTCCGATCAGTTTGTCGAACTTGTGTACGAGTATCTAGAAAGATTAATTTCCTACTTTCTTCTACATCTGATTGGGAAATTTCATCATCTGCATGATCCTCTTTCTTGGTAATCCGTCCAAGAGCCTCCTTGGTAATCAAGCAGCCAAGTCTTAGTTTGATCCCGTCCAAAAGATGAAATTTCACGCAACAGCTCACCGCGAGGAGTGAGTGAGTCACGCCAACAGGAAGAATGACAACGAAGAACCCAGTGACACCAAAAACGCGAGCGGATGTCAGACGAAGCCTTTCGTAGCATTTCGACTTTCTCAAACATCCGATCAAACGACCCAAAGAATGAATTGGAACAAATGCGTCATCCTTCTACGGAGGACTGATAATGCGAGAGCCCTTTTTTGTTAAATAAAAAGTCCAATTCAAACCACCACGTGTACTGCAGCCCCATAATTTAATTAACAATAAAATGTCACAGTTTCAAATGACTTCCCATGCCGAGTTCTCAAACACCAAAAGATTCCGCCTCCAGCCAGTACCAGGTACCGGTACCACGTTTTGCTTTGGTTTTGGCCTACTTCAATGAAAGAAGTGTTATTTAGAACTTGAATTCAACCTACACCGCCGAAACTGTTCACGAATAAAACTCTCAGATCACACAAAGGGACAGATTACCATCAAAGATGATGGTAACATCGTCGAGTGAGACGTGTTCCAGTAGATACGATAGATATAGCCGAATACCCCAGGATGTTGCAGTCCAGAAGGCGTCGTTGACAAGGACGTTGACAGTAGATGCAAACCGTCTGAACAAAGACGCCCTGAGTGAACCGCAGAAGTCTGGCAATCACGCAAGGTTTGCTCCGTCGTCGCAAGTTGTATGTACCCTTCCGCATCGACTAGATTGCTCGCAAGAAGAGATCAATCATCGATGGTTTCGGAAGGCAGAGTATGCTGAACTGATTTGGGAGAGCAGTGTCACCTTGACGTTGCTGAAATGCGATAAGAAGAAGGGCCTGGTAGATGATACTCTACTCTGTGAAAGAGGTCTTCTCGATACTGCAATTCTCATAGAACGACAACAAGAAAGATCATGTATTAACAAACTGATCTTGCTGGAAATGAAAGTGACTGAAGATGCAGAGGCGGTCTCACAGTTGTACCATGAATGTGCCCTCACCGTGTGCCAAAGAGCCCGCGATAAAGCAATAATCGATGAGGAATATGCCAAACATTATGCCACAGAGGTAGGCTCCGAAGACAACTACGGTAGGAATCAGCATACCCAAGCTGACAACCGTACGGCGATAGAACAGATGATACTTCGCGAGCTCGAAAAGTCTACAAGCCATGATGAAACAGAGCAGAAACTAGTGAAAGCGCTGAAGCGATTAAATAAGCGAAAAGAAAAGGAAGCCGAAGATGCAAAACAGATAGAAGAAATGGTGCTGATGGAACAGTTGAAGCAACTTGCAGATCTCTATGCTGACCCTTCACTAACACCGGAAGAACGAGCGGCTGTAGAACAAGCTGCCACTGATCTTCTTCAGGGTGGCAATGATGCAACAAACAGCAATGCACAAAATGTACAAACTACCTCGAGTCCTCCGTTGGAGAAGATTGAAAGTCAAGCAATTCAGGATGACGAAATGAGTGAGAACCCACGAAAACGACAAAAGATTACGTGATAGAGTGTTATCGAAGTATCCCCGCGATCAATCATAGAGTGTAAAAGCTGACCCTTCACTCCCATAGAACGAGCGGCTGTGGAAAATGAACTCCTTCAGGGCAGCAATGAATGATGTATAAAAGAATGAAACGACATGTACAACTATCTCGAGTCCTTCCGAAAAGCAAGATACACGGAAGAATGATGGTATATGAGCGAGAACCCACGAAAACAACAAACGACTGCAGACTACAATACAACGGAAGTATCGCCATTATCAATATAATGTAACACTAATTATTCTTGCTGTAATATTCTATACACTATTGTCACATTGCAGTAAGTTTACTGATAGCAAATAGAGTTGTGATAGAGGATCTGAAGTGGAGTGTCATCGAATCCATGGGAAGGAGTGGCTGTCATCCAACACAAGGCACTCCCACCTCTCATTTTCATTGCAGGCGCAATCTGGAACTCTTGCGGTCACAATGTAGCTGTCGACTTGCATATACACCATACTTCGTGCGGCATCATGTGCGATTGTACTTGTGCCGCTCTCGTCGCAGCTGGCGAGCGCATTCAAAATGTCGCAAAGGCTGCGGGAGGACCTGCCACAACTGAGGTCCAATGCAATTGCCAAATAGTACTTGATGCCTTCCCATCGTGCATCATCTTTCTTCCAAAGCATATTCATCACATTCACAGGGTTTTGGATACCATCCAGACCATCTGTCTCAATGATTGGAACAGCAAACGAACACGCCATAGAATTTACGAGTGCGCGTACGCAAATGTAACCTTTTTCGATCCACATGTTGCATCGAATCTTGTGATACACCATTTCAGATGAAGCGCTTCCAAGATCTAGACTCTTTGGACTGAACAAATGGAAGATACCGTCGGCAATATCTGGCATGGCATGAATGGTCAGGCTTGTTGTTGATGGTGTTCGTTCCTCATTCTTCTTGGGAACCTCAGCATAGTCTTGCCATCGATGCAGTTGCAATACTTCATCTTTGCCCCATTCCTGTACCATTGAATACCATCGAATAGAGTCTGCAATGGCTTGGACAGACAAGTAGGAACGATATCTGGAATCTGCCGTTGTTGGGTCGGCATTGAGACCGGCGAAGGTTACACCGACATTTTCCCCAAAGTGCACTTGGTGTCCAGCTTTGCCTCCCATTATTCGGATGGATTGTCTTGCATCCTTAGAACGGAGTCCAACAGAAAAGATGAGGTACTCGAAAGTGCCAGTATCTCCCCATTCCACATGGTTTCGGCACAAGAATACCTTGTTTTCCCGGGTGTAATCATATGTCCAAAGCACGTAGTCTTTTTCAAAGACTAGTGCTTCATGACACGACAAAATGGCACTGGGTCTCTTGTATAGAGACACAAAGTACATTTCCTCGAGAGAAGTGTTGGTCGACTTGGATGCGATCTTGATGCGAAGTGGCATTGGGAAGAGTTCCTTCAATACTCGGTTGGCTGCTGCGAACCGTTGTCGTTCTCGTGGGTTCAAGTATTCCACCATCTCGGATAGAACAGCGAATGGTAGCTGTTCAAACATGATTGAAGTTGTAGTGAATTGTATTGTTTCATAGGGTAGGACGTTATGATATCAGTAGCGGTTCCTCTCATCTTGGCAGAAATTTTGTGTGTTGCATGTTTGGAAATAATACTGCACGTCTGGATTCATAAGTGAAGCTAATTCAGTACGTCTTCTTACCTGTTTTTTAGACAAAATTCTGCTCCGGATCACCAAACTAGTTCACCCCTATATTGAACAATTTGAGTCTTCCTGTTTACTTCTGCTCTATTAGTAATACCACAGTTGTATTCTCCGAACACCAAATTAAAGCTCTCAGGAACCCAATAGGTCCTCTTTCTCTCGTTGTCTCTTTCAATATTTTTTGCAAATACCGGTACCACATCATTCGTCTTCCGACCCAGCATAATTCAGAAAAAGCTCACAAGCTTTTTCAATTTGTGCGCTAAAATCAGAGAATGTACTTTTCTGTAGCCCTGCGCCCACGATGGCGACAGATGGTGTGGATTGCCTTATTGCATTGGCAATGTATTATAGCTAGCTCGTGGTAGTTATCACGTTTCTATCTTTCAAGATGATCCAACCACTTTTCGAAATCATAATATGTTCTTCTCGGACCAGTGTGTCATGCACTCCGCAAAGACATCTGGTTGCTCCAAGGCCGATTCCCAAAAGGAATCGCACAAGTGTTTGGTCGTCTCCTCCCAACGTCCCTTGGCTTTGTAATAAATAATCGCTGGTGTACCAATCGTCACAGCTGCATATCCCGCCAATGCTGGTGCCACCATTGGATGCAAACTGAGCCAACTGACAGTCGAGCTGTATCCCATCCAACCCCAAACACCAGATGCTGGTACACTGACCTGGGCGGATGCGGCTGTCAGAGCCAAGGTGGCAGACTGTTTGGCTTGACCAGCGGCTGCCATTTCCAACATAGTACTTGCCTGCAGAGTACTCCATTCTCCTGTCTTGCACCAAAAGGCCACACACTCGCAATTGGCATAAATGACATGGTAGTCTGGTAGCAATTCTGGATATTGAATGATAAAGTTGACTCGAGCCAATACCAGGCCAACGGCATCCGATTTGGACGAAGTACAGGTTCCTGCTCTGTAGGCAGTTCGTTTCCACCAATTCGCTTGGTATTCTACCTTGTGCCATTTGCTGGCATCTGTGTACGTCCTCAGTATTCCCTCTTGAAAGAAGCCCGATTGTTGTTTCTTGTTTGGCAATTTTTTGTTGCTGGGAGTCGCAACATTGGAAAAGTCAGCAATGGTCAATTTGAAATCTCCAGTATGCAAATCATTAATGATATCCATGACAATTCCATGATGTTGAAAGACTCCTGGTATGCCACCCCAAGATCTCCATTGGTAGACATGATCTCCCACTTGGAACTTTTCCCTGGGATCTTGTTTTTTGGAAGGTTGACAGGGTCCACCTCGATAGTCTTCCGCATCTGTATCATGACAATATTCAATTTTGGGAAGCGAGGTGTCCATGTCGAGGGGCTGAAAATGTTCCAGGCCCACCGTTTCATCGTCGTCCGAATTATAATCAATATCAAAAGGGGACTGTGGTTGAGACGAGGATGAGCCGGTCGAAGAATATTGTTGTGGTTGTTCCTGTAGTGGTGGTGGTGGAGTCAGAATGGTTCGTGGATGCTGGGCAGATCTCATTTTGGGAAGCTTCATTGGTGATATTGGAACATCTTGCATCGACGTGTTACCGGACGACGTTTCGGACATTACTAGGCTGTTCTCGGGCGTGGAATAGCTGAGATGTTGGTTGGATGTACCACTTGTACTAGCCGTAGTTGCCGTCATGTTGTTTCCAGGATTCAAATAAAGGTTGAAACGACAGGGCAAATAGTATCGTGTGCAGTGACGTAGTCAGCTCCGCCTATGGACCAAATATATCTTTTAAACAACTCTCTATTACCAATAGACTGATAGGTACGCCTTATTGTTAGTCTTTTTGAAAGTGTTGGTTGCCCTCGTCGATGTTACATGCACATACAAAAATGGAGTTTATGTGTTTTGATTTGAGTTCGTCGTTCGTTGAGTGAGCGCATGTCGACCCTCTAGCGCACCTGCCCGCCCGTGAAAGTGTTTGTCTGTCTGTCACTCCGTGCGTACATGTACGTGTACGTTTGGACATCAAGGATATACACGCAGTACTGTATTTCTAAATATTTGGAACAGCGATATCAATAGTATAAGAACATCGTCAACAACAAACAATCATCATGTCTGTTTCCAACATGCAATCGCCATTTGCCCATTATGGTGTTCTATCCGGACAGTTATTCCTCTATGGTCAAGGAAGAGCAGCCTTTGAGTCACCCATACCAGAATCATCCTCATCCTCATCCTTGAATTCCAAAAAGTGTATCTTGGTTGGTGGTCTGAGTGATGGATTGTGTCCCGTGCCATACACACGGGATTTGGAACAGGCGTGTCACCAAAACAACTGGTCACTGGTACAGCCTATATTGTCCAGTTCTTACACGGGCTTTGGACATGGATCGCTGGATCGAGACTGTGACGAATTACAAGAACTCATGGACTTTTTGATGGCCCATCGAGAGGCCCAAGAATTTTGTTTGCTCGGCCATTCCACTGGCTGTCAAGATGCCATTCACTTTTTGGCGCATGCCAAAGAAGATTTGCGATCCAGGTTGCGAGTGGTGGCGCTACAAGCACCAGTCTCCGATCGGGAATCTGCCACGGTACATCCCAATCCAAAGGCGGACGAATACATGGCACAAGCCCAAAAGATGGTGGAGACAGATAATGCACAAGAAATGATGCCACGAGATTCCTTTTGGACTCCAATCACGGCTCAGCGATATCTAGATCTATTTGCAAAAGGAGGAACGGATGACTACTTCTCCAGTGACTATACGGATGAAGAGTTGGCGAAACGACTCCAACACGTGGGACAACACTCAAAGCTACAAGTGCTGGTGGCCTCCTCAGGGTCGGATGAATATGTGCCTTCAGACGTTGACATTCCAAAACTGACGGAACGACTCGTTGGGGCAATGAATTCCAAAGCCGCCAAAGACGAACCTGTAGCGATTGGATTTTGTTTGGAAACGGGGAATCACAATCTCTCCAAAGGGCCTGATGATGGCAAACGGTTTGTGGTCAAGTTTGCAGAACTTCTTCAGAACATTAAATAAAATCTCCATCATTGACCGTCGCAGACTCAAAGTGCTAGCTAGCTACCGGCATAGTGAGTCTTCAACTCAGCAATGGCTGGTGACTTTTTCGTTCTTGCAGTACCGCTGAAAAACGGGACACTATTGGAGTACCATAGTTCAGTCGAAGGAGTCAAAGAGAAAGTTTTCAATGGCTCCAGATATAAGTGACTCCAGAGTGTTGGAATACCATCGATGTTCCTTTGTCATTTCGAATCAGCTTGAAGATAAAGTTGAAACTGGTTGATGAACATCTTAGAAATGACCAACGTTTGGCCAACATTACATCATTCCGTTCTCACAAATTCATTCTGACAACAAAGTCACACGAAATATACCACACACATAAACACACAACAACTAGATTGCGTATCTAGTAGAACCGATTGAACAAAGCCGAGCATCAGCAAACAACAAAAGCATCAGCATCATCATGTCGACGACCACCAACCAAGTTCCAAACAACAACAACGAAGTCCTTCTTGCCGAGGAAAAGCTACGTGCCTCTGATGGAGACTTGCAACAAGAGCATCCTACCAACACCACCAATGGAGAAGCTGGCAGTGGTTGCCCTTTTGCGCACTCGTCCACCAGTAGTAGTACCCGTGACGAAGAAGCCATGCCGTACCAATACATCCCACTCCGAATGGGCGGAAGAGGAGGTACTCACATGGTTTCGGAAGCATCCCGTGCACTGATTGACAACGAAGTTACATTGGACGATCTCAAGACCATGACAGGCGCCTTCTACGAGCTTGCCTTTCAGGACCAAACACTCGACAAGCTCATTCGGTCTCACGAGGACCCACACGGCAATCGTTTCGCCAAATGGATTCACCAAAAGTTGTCGGGATCCAACGTTTGGGATATGGATCGTCGCAATCGTGACAAGACCCCGGTCCAGGTAGCCGGAGGCCGAACTGCCGTCGTGCATGATCGTTCTTCTGCTCATGCAGCGGCATGGTATTCGCCCAAGCGACCCCGAGAAGAAGTCGGCCGCCATTTTAATTTGTATGAGTGCCGAGTCTGGATGAGATTGCATTTCTATGCCATGCGCAAGACTGGCATAATGGAAAAAAGTCCCAGCTTTGCCGACTACTACGTTCGCTTTATAGCCCACTTCGTGGCGGTCTATGAGCGATCTGCACCAATGTTTGCACGCGACAGCCTCCGTTGGAGTGAGAATCCGGCCAATGTGGAAAAATACATCGATGATGGTCGGATCATGACGGATGTCTTGGGACGCGGATACTCGGACTCGACACGTGATTTGCCAGAATCTGAATTGTATGATGACGATTGGCCCTATTACGTTGCTCAATGAGATGAGTGATCCTGTTCCTCTCCATCGAACTTGGATGGTCGAGTGTTTTGGACAGTGCATCCTACTGTAGAAATTAAGAGTAGTACAGTGCACGTACGGTAGCTTTCACCTTGAAGTCAAATCAGTCAAGCTTTTCCACAATCCACAAACACAAAAGCATTCTCCTTCTATCGTTGCCAATAAATCAATAGCGCTTTTATTTTTTTAAGCGCTCCTTCTTGACATTTATTGCTTTTTTCAAAGACATGAAGAATTCTTATGTGACTTCAACCGCTCTCGTTGTGCATATGTATAGAAATATAGGGAACCCGCGAAATGAGCCCCGCCTTCTTCATCATGCAAAAAACCTTTTCATCGCATTTTCACAACTACCGGTAGGTAGAAAGGAGACAATTGCAATGGCTTCCCCTCTCCCCAACAACCCTTTCGCAAGGACGGCTTGTTTACCATGTTTCAGTTGCAATGGTCAAGCAAAAGACAAGAACACTCCAAATCACATTCAAATGCCTCGGAAGAACAGCGACCACACCAGCAAGCTCGAAATGAAGCAAACCGAAGACCTCCTCGCTTCAGAGATGAATCGATTGTCGATGCAAGAACGAGCCAATGCGTTTGCTGATGTGCATTGTGTAGGAGAAGATATCCAAGAGACCCCTGAAATGGTTCAGCGATCGCTTGAGGAATTTGAAAATACAGTACAGAAGGAACGGAATCCTGTCTATGAGATGGCCGTGAATCAGAACAGAGCATACGTGGAAGACCCTAAGTTTCGCCTGAAGTTCTTGAGGGCCAAGCTGTATGATGCTCGCAAATCTGTCCGACAGATGATGAGTTTTCTTGAGCAAAAAGCAAAATACTTTGGTAATGATAAGGTTGCTCGAGAGATTGATTTGTCAGATTTATCAAAAGAAGATATGGAGTTGATGCTTTCCGGGCTATACCATATCCAAGAGGGAAGAGACAGAATGGGAAGGGTGATTGTGCATTTCTTTGGCAAGAATCTAAGTACATGCAAGGCTGATGATCTGGTGAGTACGAATGATTCGGAAGTATCCAGTTGGGACAGTTAATCACTCACCCGTCACGACCAAAACTGTTGCTCAGATTCGCGCACTTTATTACATATGGTGGGCTATTATAATCCCCCTCCCCGAGGTGCAAAGAAAGGGCGTAGCAGCAATTTACAACGACACAGCAAGGGAGAACCACGGAATGCCTGACTTCAATTTCTTTAAGGAAACCCTACTCTTCTTTACCTCGTTGCCAGTTCGATTCTCTGTAACGCACTATTGTCGACATGCTGAGTTGGGAAGAACTCTTACTTTGAACGACCCGCTACTTAGTTTCGTTCTGGATAGATTGCCTACCTATTTTCGAACAAGAACTCGGATACATCATCGGTCGAGCATGGAGCTGCAATATCAGCTCCAAAGCCATGGCATTCCCACCGATACCCTTCCTTTGGATGTCGACGGAAACATTCGTGAGGACATCCTTAACCTTTGGTTTGACAAGCATGTCAAGGAAAGCAACCAAAACAATCTCTTCCACCAAGCCAAGGTTGTTCAGACTGCGCCTGAAGCTATGGAGGCAGACAACAGCCTTTTGAACCATGCCCCTGTTGATGCGAATGAAGATGAGGCAAGAAACGCTTTGATGAAACTCCGGAAGGCCCCTGGTGACCAGATACGAGGAAGCGATGGCAACTCGGAGTCCGATGATCTAGCGACAGCTGTAATCAAACCCACTGACAATGATCTTTTGTTTGGAAAAGGATATCGCCTGCAGATGCATCCGGGTAATATACGCGTTCGAGAGCAAGTCCTACGAACTAGAGACGAATATGAGAATACTCCGCGAATGAAGAGACGCGAGATTTCAATGCGGTTGGCCCAAATGTTTCGCAGCAACGGAGTTCGATTCCTCAAGAAAGCAGAATCTGGCGAATGGATCGAGAGCAGCATTGTAGAAGCGGACAAAAAGATAGGTCAGATATTTAGGGAGTTTCGGAAGAAAGAGCAAAGAGGTAGACCGAACGCGAGCCGTGCATAAATTTTTTGAAATTGGACGTATTATACCTATAACCTAGCTGTAACTGGATTTTCTGGTTTTCTGTATGAAGTCCATAACAATTCCAAACTGGTGGGATGCATTCATTCGAAGCTGCCTCATACACCACTATACACTAATATACTTATGATAATAGCATTAGCAGTCAACAGCCAGCGAAATTGAAAACGGCCAAGATCCAACAGCAGAATATGCAAGACGAACACGCAAAGTTCCAGCAAGGGCCTAATGATCTCTCTTGGCAAACATTGTTGTTGATGGTGCGCGCTTCTTCTGGCAGCAGCAGGGATGGCCACACAGCGAAGAAGAGGGTCACTTACATTGGATCTGCTGGATTTGCATTTCAAATCAGGCGCTTCAAAAGCGGGTGCCGTGGTGGTGTAGCGAGATCTGGTGTTGGTGGCGAGGAAGGGCGGCTCTCTTGGAGCAGGTGGACTACCTCCAGGTTTGGGAGGAGTGTCATCAGAGGCAGGAGGCTCGCGAAGGACAGGCTGCCCCTGTCCCCCTTGTTCTTGGGTACCGGTACCTCGTCTTTCAAATTATCTGTTTTTGGCAAGCATGCTATATCGCTTCGTCCGACGGTGAGAGTGCCATCCAAAAGTAATATATACTTCTCTCTTGCACATACCACGGGAACAGTCGAATGCGCCGTGAGTCTATAGCTGGCAACACGGTGACCATTATTGCAGCCGGTTGACCAAAGCAAGAGCCCTCAGCCATCCATCCTCCAACGCATACATTCTGCGCCAATATCAGAATGCGCTTCAGCCACCAAGTTGAAAGTGCAGTCTTTGAATTCATCATCAAGTGTTTTCCACGCGACCATCTTGATCTTATACACTCTTGATCATTTATTATAAATAAGTTTTACCACAAGTAAATGGTGACGGGAAAACAGCAATTGACATGATTCGAACGCAGAGAATGGTGTTTCTCCGATCTCGTAAAATCTCCGAGTCTACTCGGACAGTATGTCAATGCCAACAGAACTCATTTTACACGTGCATTTTACAATATATTATCGAACGGAACTTTAATATGTAAGCGCTTTTGAATCTCCGAAAATGGACACCTTGTGCCTGAGAAAAATCCCACCGCAGCACAATCTCACACCATCTCATCACCATCTCACAATAACAAATAACAGTATATAAGCTTCTGTCTTCATCGATGACTATGGCATCCTCTCTCCCCAGCAACCACTGTACAAGACAGGCATGCTTACCATTTTCCAACTACAATTATCAAGCAAAAGACAATAACATGAGCAAGCTTGAAATGAAAGAAACCGAAGCCTTCCTGGCTTCAGAGATGAATCGATTGTCGGTGCAAGAGCGGTCGAACGCATTGGATGACCTACACTGTGTAGGAGAAGAGGTCCAAGAGACCCCTGATATGATTCAGAAAGCACTTGCCGATTTTGACCAAGCAGTTCGGAAAGAACAGAATCCTTTCTATGAAATGGCCATGAATCAAAATAGGGCATACGTGGAAGACCCTACCTTTCGTCTGAAGTTCTTGAGGGCCAAGTTGTTTAATGCTCGTGAAGCGGTTCGGAAGATGATGAGTCTTCTCGAGTGCAAAGCGAAATACTTCGGTCATGGCAAGGTTGGTCGAGAAATAACATTGGATGACCTGAGTGAGGAGGACAAGCAGCTAATGCTATCGGGAATATACCACATCCAAGATGGGAGAGATCGAAATGGGAGGCTTATCCTACATTTTTTCGGCAAGATGCTTAGTCGATGTAAAGCTGATAACTTGGTAAGTGCTATATTCTTCTTCCGATCTCGAAAGACTGACAGATACACTACTTGCTAAACGACCAAATGCTTCATTTTTTAGATTCGCATCGGCTACTACATCATGTACAACATATTGTCCTCCCTCCCGGATGTACAAAGGAAGGGAATTGTGGTAATCTACAACGATACTACATTACCTGAGGAAACCTTTTCAATGCCTGGATTTCACTTCATCAAAGAGCTTCTAGCATTCTATGACTCTAAAGCAGTTCGATTCTCTGGAATCCACTACTGTCTACAGACCAAAGGACAAAATCTTGAGCTGAGCAACGTTATTATTAATTTATTTTTGAAAGGAGCCCCTCAAGAGACTCGCGTGAGAACTCGGATCCATTATGGGTCCATTATCGAGCTCCAGTACCAGCTCCAAAGCTATGGTATTCCCTTATCCACACTACCGTTTGGGGTACAAGGGAACATTCGTATTGACATTCTGAATGTGTGGCTGCATAGGCACCTAGAACAGACCAATCAAAGGATTTGCTTCCTCGAATCCGAGGCCTCTCATGGTTGGTCTCAAAACATGGAGGTAGAAAGCGACTTTGGTAACCATGAGCAGCTTTTGCACTCTGATGCGAATACAGATGACGTAAGAGAAGCTTTAGTGTTGGATCTTTGGCACATCTGCGACCCAATGTGGGCATCAACTGAAGAGGACCCTGGTGATACTACGCACATCAATTCTGTGCCAGGGTCAATAGAACCGACTGAGATGGATGTTTTGTTTGGAAAAGGATATCGGCTACAGTTGCATCCTGGCAATGTCTTTTTTCGAGAGTTCCTAGAGCAGCATCGAGACGAATATGAGAGTACGCCCCGACAGAACAGACGAGCAATGGCTGTCGAACTTGCCCAAAGCCTTCGGAACAATGGTGCTCGATTCCTCCAGAAAGCAGAGTCGGGCGAATGGGTGGAGAGCGACAATTCACAAGCAGAGAAGAAGGTATCTCAGTTTTTTCGCGAGCTACGGAAGAAACGATCAAAAGCAGCAGGGGGGCGGTAAAAATCAGTCTAGAGCATAGTTGTAGAGCCAACAGGATCAGTAGGCAGCTTTTGTGATAGGAGTAGGGCAATCAAATATTATGCAATAGTATCTATAACAGCATCGCGACAGTGATGGAGTGATAATAGCCATCAGCAGAGTCTTGGCAGAATATGTATGGCACCAAGTTGCAGTCAACATTGATGCATCTAGGCTCCTTCTGACAGCATCCCAGGTAGTAAGTCGTACAGCGACGCGACGTCGTCCACCACCCTAAAGTCATCATGATGGTCACTAGTACTGTGTCACTGACATTGGATTGGTTAGTTGGTTCCTGGAGCGAGGTGGACTCCACCACGCTGCCCAGCTCATCGCAAAGTTTCGGAAACTGCAATTATTTTAAGATTACCGGATCACTTAAACCGAAACGACTTCATCTGTGGGTTTGCGATACCATTCAGCCCCATTGTGATGGCAAGAGCCATCCAGTTGAAGAATGTGGTAGAAAAAACGCTGTGCCAGCAATCTAGTCACAAGAGCTCAGAAAGAGCTCAAACGAGGCTCAAGACTAACTGTTTCTGTGGTTTTAAGTCGGGACCTGAAAGAAAAAATGATTGCGGGGATAAAGATGACACAACATTAAGTAGGTATACATTGATTGCGGGGAAAGAATATTAAAGAATTTAAAGCACGGCTCGAACACAGAAACATTAACTAAAGAAATTGAAGGGAAAAGTTCCGTTCAAGTACCCATGGGTATTCTGCTCATATTATTACAATACATGTGTGGGAACGCTCGTCACACAACCAGATATCTGAATCTCTCATATTTCATATAAAAAGACAATACCAGTCTAATCATTATTCGCGATGACATCCTCTCTCTCCAACAACTCTTTCGCAATACAGGCATGTCTACCATATTTCAATGATGATGATCAAGCAGAAGGAAACAACATTCCGAATCACTTAAAAAAAAAGAACAACAACGATCGCATCGCCAGCAAGCCTGAAATGAAACAAACCGAAGAGCTCCTCTCTTCGGAGATGAGCCAATTATCAGTGCAAGAGCGATCGAACGCATTGGATGACCTACACTGTGTAGGGGAAGAACTGCGAGAGACCCCTGAAATGATTCAGCGTTCGCTTGCGGAATTTGAAGATGCAGTACGGAAGGAACGGAATCCTGTATATGAGATGGCCGTGAATCAGAACAGAGCCCATGTGGAAGACCCTAAGTTTCGCCTGAAGTTCTTGAGGGCCAAGCTTTATGATACTCGCAAATCTGTCCGTAAGATGATGAGTTTCCTGGAGTGCAAAGCAAAATACTTTGGTAATGATAAGGTTGCTCGAGAGATTGATTTATCAGATTTATCAAAAGAAGATATGGAGTTGATGCTTTCCGGGCTATTTCATGTCCAAGATGAAAGAGATCGAAGAGGTAGAGTTGTTCTGCACTTTTTCGGAAAACTGCTCAGACGATGTAAAGCTGATAACCTGGTAAGTACTATACACCTTTCTGCCAACCTCGAAAGACTGACATGGGTATGTTTGCTGAACGACCAAATGCTTCATCCTTCAGATTCGCATCAGCTACTACATTATTTTCAATACATTGTCCTTCCTTCCTGACGTTCAAAGGAAGGGAATTGTGGCAGTCTACAACGATGCTACATTACCCGGGGAAACCTTTTCAATGCCTGGATTCAGCTTCATCAAAGAAATCCAAGGATTCTTTGACTCTGGGCCACTTCGGTTCTCTGGAATCCACTACTGTCTACATGCGAGAGGACATAATCTTGCGCTGAACAACGCAATTGCTAGTCTTTTCCTGAATGGAATGGCTCAATGTGATCGTGTGAGAACTCGGATACATTATGGGTCTATCATGGAGCTTCAGTATCAACTCCAAAGCTACGGCATTCCCTTGTCCACGATACCGTTTGGAGTACGTGGGAATATTCGTAATGACATTCTGAATGTCTGGTTCGAAAGGCACCTCAAAGAGACCAATCAAAGCATCCGCCTCCATGAATTGTCGCAGGATATGGAGATAGAAAGCGATCTGATGGGCTACCATGTGCCTCAAGAACAGAAGGACGATGATGCAAGATATGCTTTACTGATGGATCCTTGGCAAGAGGGTGGTGATACTGTCCATACCAGCGGTATGTCAGATTCAATCAAACCGACTGAGATGGATGTTTTGTTTGGAAAAGGGTATCGGCTACAGTTGCATCCCGGCAATGTCCGTTTTCGGGAGTTCCTAGAGCAGCATCGAGACGAATATGAGAGTACGCCCCGACAGAACAGACGAGCAATGGCTGTCGAGCTTGCCCAAAGCCTTCGGAACAATGGTGCTCGATTCCTCCAGAAAGCAGAGTCGGGCGAATGGATGGAGAGCGACAATTCACAAGCAGAGAAGAAGGTATCTCAGTTTTTTCGTGAGCTACGGAAGAAAAAAGCAAAAGAAGCAGGAGGTCGGTAGAACTTCTCGGCATTTCTTTTCTCAATCCACGACAGTCTAGAGCAAAATGTCACAGTAGCAGAAGTAGTAGGTAACTTTTGAAATAGGCACCTTGTAGGGCGTAACCTTTCGGTTTCAAATTGGTGGCAAGTTCGTCACAAAGAGAGTGAAACCACTCAGCAGTACCGTCTTGCTATACCAAGGGTAAACCACGGGAACAGGAGAAAACATGAATCTAGCTGAGGGCGTTTTACCTTTTGGTGGACTAGAGGCACAAACCATTCATGCAACGAATATGTGTTGGGCCATTGCACTGCAGTCATAGGTGGTCAAGCGGAGTCATCGAATTATCAAGAGTTCTGTCATTTTCACAAATTTTCCGGCCATCTTTTGGAACCATCCAATACCATTCTGGAGCCTAAAACAAAGCGGGCGCTAGTATAACAACGCGACTACAAGAGGGAGTCCCTGATGCGAGGATTGTCTGTAAACGGACTTGAGGGACAGTCGAGGACACTAGACAATAGAGATGTAATAGAGATAGGATTGCTATTCTTATTGATGATAGTTCATGAAAGTGAGGATTGCTCTGAACTTGAGCAGAGGATCCAGCAGTAGATACACGTAGAGAGTAGTATATAGAATTCGGGAGAAGAACTGAGGTGTCAAATGATCGTGAGAGTTACCCAATCAGAGTAATCCACCGGTCCGATCTATTGGACTCACGGTGCGATTCGTTTGACCTCAACACTCCCTCTCGATCGAACAGTGAGGTATGTAGCATGAATGAAGAGTATGCTTACCATCCGCAGAGTAGTTTTTGAATGGCGCGGAACTTGTCCAAGGTAAGTCCCTTCGTGAGAATACCGGCCTTCTGAGCTTCTGATTTGATATATTCAACTGATATGTTGTTTGTGGAATCCGAAACGTGAGATCGGAACCAGTGATACTTGACAGCATAGTGTTTGGATCTTGGGGTGTATTGTCAAGGCTTGAGGCGAGCAAGTTTTAGACATCCCATATTGTCTTCCCACACAGTTGTCTTTAGAGAGGTGGCTGTTTTGTTGGATAGCCCGAGTCCTTGAGCTACTGTATCGTCTTGAAAACTCTTTGTAGAGGTAAGATATCACGCATTGCCATAGACAGCGCATTGTATTCCGCTTCCATAGTGGCAGTGGCAATGTCTGTTTGTAGTCTTGACACCCAAACCACAGGGCATCCACAGACTGAGATGACGTATCCAGTTCTTGACTTGACGCATGTAGGATCCATAACGTCTTCAACTGAATAAAGACCGGCAAAATCCGCATCGACATGACATTCAATGTCAAATGAATCGGTCGGTCGCAAGATTAGGCCTTCATTTACTGATGATTTCAAATATTGCCCAATTCTGATCGCTTGTTCTTGTAGGTTTTGTAGAGTTTGATTAAGAGTTTCATCTTCTTCTTGTTTGACATCTTCTGTAGCTTGTTTAAGAATAGGAACTTCTGTAGGAACATTTGGTTGTTCTTCCTGTTGAATATTCTCGTCTTCAGCTACTCCCTCTGGAACTGACAAGTCATCATCGACGTTATCATGGTCACCAGCTTCGATTGCTTCTGAGGGGTCATTGGCGACTTCATTTCGATTATCTTGAACATTCGGAGCTTCCTGAGGCTGGTTGTGAACCGGTTGCACATGAGGTATTGGCGGTTGGTTGACAGGTAGCAGAGGAATTGGAGGTTGCACTGGCACTGGAGGCGCATGACCACCGTTATTACCCCCTGGAAGCGGAGCTTGGTGGCGATGCTGGATGGCTTGTTGGTGGAGGCGGGCACGACAACGATTGTTGATGAGGGTCCGACGTTGGAGTCGAACGGCACGTTCAGTTGGAGTTAGCCATTCATCTTGTAGTGGCGGGGCAATAGGGCGCCCTTGAGCGTCACGGTCAAGAGTATCACGAAAGTTCTCGTACCCGGATTCAACCAAATTGAACCAATGATTGGCATCAAGTTGGTGAGGATTGGCCGCACCCCCTGCATCTGAGTTGGGGACAGTCCGGAAGTGGGCGTCACACACAAAATGAGGATATTGTGGTGAAACATGTTTGGTTCAAAGGTTCAGGATTCGCGCGACCGAGGAGGAGTGGTCAGGCGAATAGCCAAGATACATTCCACGTCTTGACCGAGTTTCCATCTTGAAGTTTTGGATCAAGGACATAGGTAGGACATCCAAAGATGTGAAGGCGATGTAGAGAATTGTAGTTGGGGAACCTTGATTGGCTGAAGATTTCCAGTGGTGCTAGCCGAGTGTCACGACGTGGAAGGTTGTACCAGATGTATGCTGCATGTTCCATGGCAAAGGGCCATAAGCGGACGTCCGCTTCGTCAGGCCAGTGAATGACCTGGTGGAGAAGCATGGTCCGAGCCCACTTAGTAACCGTTTGAATTGCACGTTCGGCGACTGCATTCTGATGATGAGCCCCAACACCGCTGAAATCAATTGTCTGCTTCTTCAAGGCAAGATCATGTTGCCAAGTTGCAGAGTTGAAGGGCGTGTGGTCTGCTCGATAACTCTTGATATCCGGTACGTTGTTGGCTTTTGCCCATCGCTAGAACTTGTGCTTTGCCATCAGAGTTTCGCCTGCTCAAAGAGAAACTTGATTGACGATGAAGATTGCACCAGAAGCGTGGTCACAAAAAATAGTACCCCCTGAGTACTGATTCTTCTTCTTTTCTTTTCCTTTGGTGTGCAACAATCTACCAGGTACATAGGAAACGTAGCTATTGATGGAAACTTTGGCACCCGGTGTCAGATCTCCCTCTCGAATAGCCATTTCCCAATCATCGAAGGCATGTTGTGATTCAGGAGTTTGTCGCGCTTGCTTGCCAAGTTCACAAGCGGCACAGAGGATGGTCCGTTGTGAGTTACTTGCTCCTTTATGGCGACATGGTAAGATTGCTTCTTGATTCGGATCGTTAGGTTGTGCTAGGAGACGCTGAATCGATTTGAAGTGAGCATGCTCAAGCTTGGCATGATAAAGCAGCATCTCTTTCTCACCAGCGGTAAGATTTTGATTGTTTTCAGCTCCGACTGACAACATTCCTAACACATCTTGTTCTCCACAGAGCATGTTGGCTTCTTCAAAGCCTAGTCCAGCGCAATGGGCACTCGCGTCCAACATCATTGGAATATTGTTTGATTGGAATGGAAACTCAAGTTCCGATTCGTCGGCGAGCGTGAGGACAACTTTGCGGTGGTTCAAGAAAAGGGAACCAGCTCCCTTTGTCTCTTGGAAGTAGCATTGTGGCGAGAACAATCGAATCTGTGCAGATGGAACCAGGTAAGCCGTAGTTCTGATCCGTCGCACGGATCCATAGACGTCTCTAACAGTCCATTCAACTGTTCCACTTCCCACAACCTCACACGATCCTTGGAGGCCATTGATAGATTTGAGTGGGCTAGGGCGGACTTTAGAGATGAAATCTGACTCATGAGGTGTAATTGAGACAGATGCTCCGGTATCGATGACCATTGGAGTCTTAGAGTTGTCGGAGAGGTAGACCGACTGATGGTGGAGAGTGTCAGGCAACCGCGGAATATGACAATCAATCTGAGAGATAGCGGCGTTGACAGCTCGAGACAAAGTTGCAGCATTCGACTTAGCTGCCTTGAGAGTCGTTTTGACTTCTTTTTCTTTGGACTTGGTGTGCAGCGACCATAGAGGATTTGACAGGGCTGCTATTTGATGGTATTGCTTGAGAGGATCGACACTTCAAACAAACTGGTCGAGGTCAACTCCATACTGGGCGTCGAACTGGATGAAGCTCAAGTGAAGGAAACGATGCTTCTTCCTTGTGTAGCCTTCGAGGATCTCTTCATCTGAAGGTGAGTTCCAATGATGGGGAGCACTTGTTGCTTGCTTTTTGGCTTGCTTATGTTTCCTTTTTCTTTTCTTTTCCTTTGTTCTTGCCGTCTTCCGATAGAACTGTACTCTTTGAGGCTTGACTCGACGACGTAAGGCTTTGAGGATGAGGTGATAATGAGGTGGATTGCGCTTTGGAGACTTGGACTTGCAACAGCGCCAAGGAAAGGCACATCCGAGAAGTTCTAGTGCATTGAAAGGAGGAGTTGGCACTAGCGAAGGCAGATATGGCTGTCTGCGTGAACACTTAGTTCGATGACGAAGTCGCTTCGCGACTGAAGGAGAGGATGGAGGAACTATGGAGGGCATTGCTGCATTTAAGATGAGGACAAAACTGGCGAGGACGAGCAGTTTCAAGAGGTATAAAAAGTCAACTAGACTTAAAGAGGAGACCTCATCCATACCCCCTTGCAGCAAGGGCCACCACATGGTGACGGAAGGGAAGGACGGGATGACGGTAGAGAGGAAGACTACAATCATCCGTAGGAGTCAAGTGGCACGGTTCACTTGATCAATGAGTTGGTTCATGCTGCCCGTTGCAATGGCAGAGACCTGCTGACAAATCTGAGGAAGGTTGGTAGGAGAAGTTGCAGCGGTCAAAGCAGAGGCATCGCCAGAGGGGACTTGGTTGACGGGCGGAGCAGGAGGAGCAGGAGCCGCAGCCGCTGGAGGAGCTGGAGCTGGAGCTGGAGGAGCTGGAGCTGGAGTTGGAGCACCTGATAGGAGTGCATGGGGGCGATTAGTCGTCTCGGACTGATAATCACAGAGCTTCCAGGATTTAGATTCAAAATGATAGTAGTACCATTTCTTGTTGACTTTCGCTCGATTTTTCTTCCGATTAGATGGCACGGGAAGATGCTCAAATTGAACTCCGGCGCCAAGCCTGGAACGCGCCCTTTCTTGCCTGGATTCTTTTGGGCCTTCTTTTCATCAAAGAATTTCCGCTTATTCTGTGCGACGCGCTCTTTATTTATTGGTTCCTTGCAGGCAGTGACAGAATGCTTGCCACCGCAGTTGAAACAGGGTCCCACTGACTTTTGAGAGTTTCGTTGACCTTGTGAAATTGGCCAGTCCATCCCTCTTTAGAGGCCATGCGATTCTGATAGATGCTCGTCGCGAGATCGAGTATCATATCAGGGGAACCATAAGCAGCATTGCCTTGAGTAAGTGCCTGCTCGTATGCGTTGATTTCTTTGTTGTGGAAAACCTCATTGAACTTGGGATCACTTGATGTCTGGAACAAGGAGATGAGAGTTTTGCCAATGTCATGAGGAACGTTTGAGGAGACCACTCTCCCATCGATACGTTTTTCAAGTGACTTGAGTCGAGTCAACATCACCTTAATGTGACTAACCAAATTGTCCACGCTTTCTCCTTCATATTGATCAATGCGAAGTGTCTTGAGCTGGCCTTGAATCGTCTCCACGACGAGCTGAGAGTTGACTTGGAGGCGTTTCATCATGAAGAAGAAGACCAAGGGGCCGCCCATTCCTTGGGTATCCCAATAAGGAAGAAGGTCTTCGAGAACTTTGCCCCATAATTGTGGAGTCATATGATTGCACAGATAATCATAGGACAGGCTTAAGTTCTCGCGGAACCAAGGACTGGTGGTTGCGTCGGGCCACCTTGTATACCACTTGCAGCTTTCTGCCACCTGGTCAGCGGTAAGTTCGGCGTAGCGATCGAACAGAAACACTGTCTTGGTCACGTTAAAATTATCCGTCTCTAACTGTCCTGTTTGTTCAACGATCGCATTCTTGGAAGGAATTACAATAGTGAAAACGTCCAGGACGTCATAGCGCTTGAAGTGCATTTGCATGTTGGCAAGGCCGACGCTAAAATCATAGCTTTCTTGAAGGTCTTGACAACTTTGCATGGTCTGCGGTTGGAGATCAAACGAGGTATGTTGATGCTTTGTGATGAGTTGAAAGAAGGCGTGCTTCTTATCTGCGTCCAATGCTGACCTGTTTTCTTTCTTCATGGCGACAAGCGAGCCACCCACATCAGTTGCCGGGGTCGCCTGTGTCGTGATGGTCAATGGTGACCTGGTTGGCCTGATTGCGTGCTGGCATCGCGACTTGCGGAGGGTTCTGAACCTGCTGAGGGTTGGTGCTTGCTCGAGAGCCAGCCCTTGTCACAGGCTGTTGGAGGGTTCCTTCGAGGTCGTCTGAGAGATCTCTCTGAAGTTGAGGGGTAGCTTCTTCCTGACGATCCTCTGAGGTGACTTGAGGTGTGGAAGCGTTCCTCTTCTTCTTAGATCGCTTCTTCTTGGAAGGAGTCACCGGTTCAGGCGTTGATGACATTCACTTTAGTTGTATCTACTCAGCAATACTTGGGCTCATAACCTGTGAGGATTGTCTGTAAACGGACTTGAGGGACAGTCGAGGACACTAGACAATAGAGATGTAATAGAGATAGGATTGCTATTCTTATTGATGATAGTTCATGAAAGTGAGGATTGCTCTGAACTTGAGCAGAGGATCCAGCAGTAGATACACGTAGAGAGTAGTATATAGAAGTCGGGAGAAGAACTGAGGTGTCAAATGATCGTGAGAGTTACCCAATCAGAGTAAGCCACCGGTCCGATCTATTGGACTCACGGTGCGATTCGTTTGACCTCAACACCTGACAATGATCATCACTTCTTCCCAAGAAATTCGTTCTTTGTTGGAAGAAGTGGCGGTGGTCGAGTTTCACTCATCTGATTTCCAGAATTTTTTCTTCTGAATCCCCTTCATAGGAATGAGTAGGCAACCCAGTTTCTTAAAAAGCTGTGAAGCGACTTGTCAATCGTTAACGTGGACTCAAAGGTAGGGTAAGAGTCCAAAGTCGTCTGTTTGTCCATCAGATGATAGCCGTTACTGAACGTCTGCACCCCAATGGCTAACGTATCCAAAGTATCTTATACAGGTATCACGTAACGTGACTGACTGGACTGCCGAGTCCCGAGCAGATGTATTAGAGCAATCGAAGGCCAACGGTCGTTGCCAATCTCAAGCCCAAGATCAATCATCTATCATCTACTCACAGCTGCTTCAGACCCCCGTAAATACACCCCAATAGCAATATCAATCACCGTCTATCATGCCCAACAGTAGCTACATCAACGCACTAGTACGCTCTCTCTACGAGGAGAGCCAGGAGCACAACGTTAGCACGTTAAGTGGAAGCCAGCCTGAGATTCGAAGCGATTCGCAGTCAGAGCCACCAAGTTTGTTCACATGATCATCTAACACATGGGGAGGACAGTTCAACCCTGACCATTTCCAGCGCAACGCGTTCGCGATGATGTCAGCAAGTCCTGTCAATATGGAGAACGGAGCGTTCGCCGCAATGACTGCCGCGTCGCATCACAAATATGAAAAAACAAAAAAAGAAGCGATCGCATCAACGAGAAATCGTATTGGGTCAACGGAAGCCACGTGGACGAAACCATCACCTACAACCAGTATACCATCGATACTGCCGTGTTGGCTCTAACCACAGAGTCTCCGGAAATCAAGCAAGCGATCCTACAACAGTCTGTGAACTCCATCAAGCAGACAAAGACAACAATGGAACATAAGGTGGATTTCTTGATGAAACGCTACACATCAGTATGCCCAGACGTTCGCTCGCGAGTCAACGCCGCCACCAGCAAATTGTTCGACGTGACTAGTGACGTGTACGAATTCACAAGCCTACACGTCATCGACAACACAGGACAAGCGATCGCTACAGGACCGGGACCAGGACTTCCAGCCCCATTTAGAGCCGCCGCCACATACTTCAGAATCGAGCTCCGATTGGTCCCACGGCTGTGTTCCCTACGAACTGACATTGGAATCGACCCAACAAAGTTCCCACCATCTTCCAACAGAGCTGTATACGTTCCAGTGCCAAGAGTCCAGAACCAGATGGACGTATTCATCACTCGCCAAATGGTAATGGACCAAGCACATCACAAGGAAATCATCACAGCAATGGCAGCACTAGGAGAAGAGTTCTCGATGAGAGCTGCGACCAGAGACGGAGAGCCCGATAACGACGCCTACGAAAAGTGGCCCAAGCAACAGATTGCAAAGACCCAATTCCAAGCGCTAGAACAAGCACTCACAGCCACCTACGTCGGACTACAACAAGGCATGGAGACGCCAAACTACCAACTGGCAAAGCTCAACATGATCCGATACGAAGGAGGCACAATGATGTACGACAGCGTGGCTACTTTATTTGGCAGAATCGCCACGATTCTAAACGGGTTCAACCACAAGAATCACCCGCCAACCAACCTATCAGACTTGGCAGGAGTAGCGTTCCAAACCCTTAACACAAGAAATCAAGGACGTTGTGGCTGAACACCTAGAGACAGGAGCAGCAGGACCACTACTTATGGACTACCCCAGCAACCTGTCTCGAATGCACCGCCTACGCGAACGAGCAGAGAAGGAAGAGAAGCGCATCAAGCAACTTGTGGGAATTGCAAACAGCGAGGGACAAATCAGACCGAACAGAAGCTACGTTCCAGGACGATCTGCACCACCAAGACCAGGCGGAAGAGCCTTCGCAGGATTCCACCAACCAGAATTCCAAGGATTCCAGGGATTCCAAGGATACCAAGGATTCCAGGACGATCGCTCCTTCCAAGCTCCAGAGATCGAGACTGCGGGAACCTTCCACACCGCAATGACGACCCCTCCAACTATGGCGGCAAAACAAAACGTTCGAGTCACCGACGGCCAAGGAAGACAATTAGTGGTCCCGACATCCGACAGCAAACTATACTGCCCGGAAGCGGTTGTCAACATGCTGTCGTGCATGAGTATCATGGAGGAACTCGGACAACAGCAGGAAGAAGAAAATGGGTGGACAATGCTCAGCCAAGCGGAAGAAGCACTGCAAAAGGCAAGCGGCAAGCCATACCCAATCCACTGTTGGGGATGCAACGAGGAAGGCCACAACTTCCGAGACTGCCCACACAAAGAGGACCCCCAAGTCCTAAAACGTTTCTATGAAAAACTGGACCAGTGGAAGCAACGAAAGAACGAAGAACGCAGAAATAATAATTCCCATTATAGACGAGGAGGATATATGACCCAAGCAATCTGCGATACAGTTCAAGCCATCAAGGATCCACAGACAGAATCGGGAGAGAGGACAAACCTGTTGGTGAATCTCGTCGAAGCGGTCACGGCACACACTTCCACAGCAGCAGCAAGGAAAAGACCAAAGGGGCAGTCAACCCAGCCGGCACTATCATTTGTCACCTTTGGAAGCTTCGCGGCCATGGAACAAGCCCACCAGCTGAACTTCTCGGTCAATGACATGCTGACATTCTTGAACTTTCCCATCGGACTCAACGAATCCAACACAGCTAATTTGAAAGGACTCTACGACACCGGAGGATGCTGCAACATGGGGAAGAAAGACTACCACCTGGCCATTGTCAATATCGGAGGCGCGTCAGAAAAACAGGACATGACACCAGCAAACGCCAGGACAGAACACACTAGAGCACATCGAGACAATGTTCCCACTCTTCTGGAGACAAAAGGAACTGCTTAAACTTCTCAATGAGGAACGAAGGGAACACCACCGAATGCTCAAGAATCAAACCAGAACGCGACGGAAATTTGAAATTGGAGACATTGTTATGGTGCGGAAACAAGTATAATCAAACGCCTCTGCAGGAATACCAGCAAAACTGGTGCTAAGAACAAAAGGACCCTATAGAGTCATCGAGAAAGCGTCAGACGACTCATACAGACTACAAAAGATCCCAGGGACAAGCACCATGCTAAAGAAGCGAGGATCGACCCCAATCAAAGAATCAGCATTCAGAATGCACAAGATCCCATCAACGATAATACTTCACAAACGAGTGGACACACCAGATACAAGACTAGCAAACATGAGAAGCCCACTAGCACACAGCCCCCTGGAAATGAATCTAGGACTGGTTGATTTTGGTAAATACGCGACGACACCGACAGACACAGCAAACGCATTCGAGCCAATCAAAGACCTTTGGGACAAAGAAGTTGAGCCAACGGAAGATTCATCAGACAAAGAAGAAGACGACACCCCTACACCATCCATACTGGACGCTATCCAACGCACGCAGCCTCGGCCGATTAACAGAGACGTACCACCAACAGATACAGAAGGCGCCAACCAAACCAGACAGGTCCATACCACAGAAACCATCACAGAAGAACTCAATCTACAGAGCTTATACAAACGAACCACACAATCCAAGGACAAATTATACGTCATAGCCCATCAAGACGACACATCAGGGTGGAACAACTGGTACGTGATACAAATCGACATGGAGGAGACCAACGAGAAACTAGCAAGAACAAAAGGACAGTATCACTGCAAGTGGTACATACCAAAACCCACCGCTACAAAGCAAGGCCCCCCAATGACCAGCCCCTTTTGGCCCCTAATCAAAGAATTTGCCGACGAGACAACATACGGCCCAACAGTACCCATCAGACCCAGCAAAGTAGACCAGGTGCTAAACAAGAGCCCGCACAAATACGCCTGGTACCAGAAAGAGGTCAATATCATTGAAGACGGCGTATACGGACCGTTCGATTTTGAACGAGACTACAAAATACCGGACGTGGTGTGGGAAAAAGTGAGAGAGGCGGAAACACAGATGAAACTAAAAGTGGCCAGCATCACGCCCAAGTCAACACCACCAGGTAGAGCACACAAACGAGCGCAACACAAACGATAAACACAGCTAACAAGAACAAAAGAATAGACCCAAAACAAACCAAGTCTACAGACATTATACACCTCAAAAGCCCCAACGCTGACCCAAAGATGACCCACGATAGCCCCTAGATAGCCCCCGAACAAGTGGACCCAAGCCCCAGACCCAAAAGTTACGACGATCTGTCGCAGCAGACCATAGTACCAGTTGAACCAACAAAAAGCCGCCATCGACAAACTACTCCATGTCGCAGCATGCAGTACAAGTCATGACTGGCAGAGTAGCAGGAACACGAAGCCCCAAAGACGAAGGACCCAATATAGCAACCCCCATACCCCCCCAAAATACGTGTGTACAACGACCAAGATGAGGACTGATCCTCCCGTTCTGACTGTCGTACCGCGAAGCACCTAGTCAAACTTTGGACCTAGACGCAACTGTCAGACACTTGAAGCCGCTCGCCAGCAACCTGGACGTTGGAGAGAATCCTGCAGCCCGATTTGCAATTGAGGGTTAGATGGCGATTTTTCTTCGGCTACCTTGTTCGGTGCCAGCAGCCATTCATCAAGAAGAGGGAGGTGAAAACAGACCAAGATGAGACGTTACAACAGAGTCGCCTAAATAGAAGAAGAGGGGACGTAACGTGACTGACTGGACTGCCGAGTCCCGAGCAGATGTATTAGAGCGATCGAAGGCCAACGGTCATCGCCGAATATTCAGCCCAAGATCAATCATTCATCATCTACTCACAGCTGCTTCAGACCCCCGTAAATACACCCCAATAGCAATATCAATCACCGTCTATCATGTCCAACAGTAGCTACATCAACGCACTAGTACGCTCTCTCTACAAGGAGAGCCAGGAGCACAACATTAGCACGCTAAGATCAAGATTCCCAATCTTGACTACAATGCTCCTTCGCTAAGCTTCGCCACATTCTCAATGTTGTTAAGACTAAGCATCGCTATTGCATGCGTTGAGATGGTCGGAGTTTCATCCTGTTTACATCCTTCACAATACAAAATCACTATAATTTTCAGAATACTGTTTTATCACACATTTTCGGACATTTTACAACTAATTCAGTACTTGAAGCACTACAAGCCTGGACAACCTTGTGCCTGCATTCTCAAGTAATCAAAGCTGTACACGCTATAGCTTTGAGTGGATATTTTCGCCCAATTTATACCTAATAAGTTACGCTACCAGCCTCTGTGGAGACGTCCATTAGAGCTACCAACGAAAGCTCTCCGAGCCTACAACAAAGAAGTACTTCGCTAGCTTCCCAAGCTACCACCAGCTCTCCAAGCATCGATCGAGCTTTCCAAGCACCTACCTACCGGCCCACAAGCTTTCCAAGCTCACATTTGCAAAGATAGAGACTCCGTCTCGCCCAACTGGTCCTACAGGAGACGGTTCTCCAGCATCTCTTGTTCCACAGAACCAGCAACGTCCCATCTATGGAGATGGGAAGTACCGTCATCTACATACCCAAGGTCTGTCTGTCAAGTTTGTCAGAAAAGGCAATCTCAAGGAGTTCAAGCGTCAGATACAAGAACTCATTGAGGCAAATGGGTTCTTTGCTATCACTCACGTACCTGATCCAGTCTCTGGTGAAATGCTCTGTATTGGCAACAGACATCCAAGATGCACGGTCCAGTTTGTTACAAAGCAAGTTGAACAACAGGTCTAGTGTTACAACAAGTACAACAAAGCAAACGACGCTGAAGCCAAGATCTTCCTAGGCAACAGCCTCAACCCAGAACTCGCTGCCAAACTCTACCTGAAGGTCAAGACTACCAACCCTTTTCCCGTCATGTTTCAAAAGTTCATTCAGATGCTCCACACCACGTCCATCCACTACTTCGAAGGACTCCAGACGAACATCCGCAAGCGCAAGCCCTCCCAATACTCTGGAGAGGACATTGCACAGATGGCAGAGGACAACAAGGAAGATACAAATGAGTTGACAATCGCAGGTCAATATGAATTCAATCTCAACAATGTCATGGTTGACAACTTCCTTGAAGCCTCCAGAGCTGAGCACAATTCTTACTGTCATGAAATGCTCAACGTCAGCGCCAAGATCGACAAAGCACTGATTGAGATTGGCTACATGGACAAGGAAGCAGCAGCACAACATTTGGAAGCAGAGGAACTCACCCACGAGAACATCTGTGACAAGGCCGAGAACGCTTACCGTACACTCTTTGACAAGCATCAATGGCCCGCTGCAAGACCCACCATCCGAGATTCCAAGGCTCCGTATGCTAAGATGGCCAAGACATTCACCCCCGATGACGTCCAGAACCATGCATACGCTCTGATCCACCAACAGACCGGTCCAAAGGGCAAGGCCAAACCTGACGACATCTGTTTGAACTGTGGGGAGAAAGGACACTGGGCTCGCGACTGCAAAAGTGACAAGAAGCCCAAGCGACCTTTCAACAACAACAAGAAGAGTAAGCATCAAAAGGACAAGCACCGGCCTGGTACACTCCCTTCCGCCATGGTCAGCCTAGTCTTTTGTCCCTACGTGCTGTCTGGACCATCATCCAACACTTCTTGAGTTACCTTCCCCAGTTGGTTGTTGCCTTCTTCTTGGCCCATTCCATTGGCGTCACTACAACAAATGTTTCAGCTTTCATGGCTGATCAAGTCTTGACTGCATCCTCTTTCTTGGCCGATCAAGTCACCTTCATGATGAGTCAAGCTACCGCCGCCCCCGCCTACCTATTCACTGCCGCTTCCACTGTCATTGCTGCCTTTGAGGGATCTCCGACCAACCGCCTTGTCCCACTCCTGTGGTTCATTCTCTTGATCCTTGTGTCCCTTCCTACCAAAGGGCAACACCGTCTGATTGGGTCCACGCATCAAGAGTTTGGCCCGTTCCGGATGACCAAAGCAAAGTACAAACGATACATTCGACACTGCCGTCATCAGCGCCGCCCCACTTCCTTCAGCCATCGCCGTCACACCCGTCACTATGGTCTCGCCACCCGCTGTCGCCTCGACCCACGATCTCAGGATATCTTTGACTTGGTCCAACATATCATTCAGTTTTCGGAGTCTCTCACGTTTTGTTGTTCCCGTCGAGAGGGAGATAATTGGAGAAGCAACAGAAGACATCAGAGAAATCAAAATGATGATCAAAGCAATTGGCAGAGAACAAACGACGGTTGGAGAAACATGAACAACAACGAACCTAGGACCCCTCGTGCTACCACTTCCCGTGAAATACCCCGTGATGACCATCGGCGTTAGCGTCCTGGTGATCCAAACTGGACCTTCTACCAAGGTCCTTGCCAGCCAAGTGAAGATGATGCCTTCCGTTTTGATCCTCCCAGACCTCGTTCCTGTCGCCACGACTCTTCCAGACATCCTTCCAATTGCCATGACCCTTCCTCGACACCAAGGGACGACATTTTCCGCCACTTCAATACCTTTCCAAGAACAGATTGAATGCGCAGACAAAGGATGGCACGTCGCCGCCGACCAAACATGCCACGAATCTACAGACCTACCGTTGGTGTCGGACTCCCAATGGCCCACGTTGCCGTTCTATCTTCTCCCGCAGCCAAAGCCTTCTTTAAGAACGCCGATATTCCACAATGATTCAGCAAGGTCATCAACTGCTTTTGTGCTGCAATGAATTCAGATGAATTGAGATGAGATATGTTGGGTGATGAAAAGACGACAAGGTACCCAATAATCTGGGATTCCGGTGCAACAACCTTGATCTCACCTTACAAGGACAATTTTGTGGGAAAACTTGAGCCAGCACCTCTTGGACTCAAGCTTCATGGAATCGCTAGCGGCCTGGAAATCAAAGGGATTGGACATTTGCATGGTCAGTGGTTGATACAACTGGCATGTTACGAACAATCAAGGTGCCTGCCCTATACGTACCTTCTGCCACAGCTCAATTGCTCAGTACTTCAAGTTTGCTCCAGACATACACCGATGAGTCCATCTCAATGAACGCTGATCATCTACAGTTGTCAGGATCAGACAAAACAAATTCAGTACACGTTTACCATGACCCTTCAACAAACTTGCCAACATCGCTTGCCTACTCCCATGGAACTGCCCCTAACCGATTCGACGCATTCGCCAGCATCATCACGTCCACCTTGGAGTCAGACCACAACCTCAGTCCCGTCGAGAAAGAACTCCTAAGATGGCACCCTCGGCTAGGCCATCTCAACTTCAGTCAGATCCAATTTCTACTCCGCACAGGTGTATTGGCACATTCAGAGTCCGCTCGACGATTGCAAGCTGCAGCATCTCGGATCACAACATACCCACTATGCCCAGCTTGTCAACTTGGAAAACAACGTCGTCGACCCTCTCCTGGAAAGACTTCTCGAGTCGTTTGTGATCGAGAGGGAGCTTTGAAGAAAGAAAACCTGTTCCCAGGACAAAAGGTGCCAGTTGATCATTCTGAGTGTACCACAAGAGGACGATTGCTTCATACCTTTGGCAAAGAAGATCCTAAGACACAGTACACTGGAGGATGCAACAGGTTATGTCTTCGTTGAGCATCAAGTTCATCTGAACACCCAAGAGACGTTGAGTGCAAAGATATCTGTGGAAGAACAACTTCAAGACTTTGGAGAAGTTGTACTTGAATATCAAAGTGACAATGGAAGGCCCTTCACATCGCCAGAATACAATGATCATTTACTCAAGTTCTCACAAATTCACTCATTTGCTGGCGTTGGAGCTCATCATCACAATGGAATTGCCTAACGATCAATCCAAACCATCATGTCCATCGCTTGAACCATGATGATGCATCAAGCCATCCATTGACCCGATGTTGCCACCACCACACTCTGGACCCTCGCAGTGGATCATGCCGTCTTCCTCTGCAACCACATGCCCAACCAATCATCTGGTCTCTCACCACACAATCTGCTTACCAAAACTCGCTGGAAACAATCACAACTTGCCGATGTTCAAGTCTGGGGATGTCCAGTGTATGTCTTGGACAAACACATGCAAGATGGAAAGAAACTTTCTCGGTGGAAGCCTCGATCCACCCGTCAGATCTACGTTGGAATGAGCAAGAGGCATGCATCGTCAGTTCCACTTTGTTTGAATCCCGACACAGGAGCCATCACCACGCAATTTCATATTGTATTTGATCCTACCTTCTTGACCATGGCAACGAATATTGATGACCTACCTGATTTTGGTTCGGAAGCCTGGTCCAAACTCTTTGGAGACTCCGTCTACCAATATGTTCTGGATGATCCTGAGGACCCATTGCATCCACCTGATCCCCCTCCACCTTTAACTGCAAGAGTCCGAGAACAAACAGAATTTCACAACCTGCCTACTCCATTGGACGTTGTTCCGCCACCTACCAAGCCACAAGTTGATTCCTCTGGAGCTACCAAACATTTGATCCAGAGGGAGACAGTCATCGAGAATCCGCCAGCTGTTCCCCCCGTTCAGCCATCTCCTTCTCAGAGGGAGAATGTGACTCCTACTACCCCTACAAATCAGCCAAAGCCTTCACCTCCGCCGCAGCCGACTCCTCCACCGGCTTAACACCGCAGCCAACAGCATCACCTCGCAAACCTGCACCTGCACCGCAACCATCAGCCACACGCACATCTCGCAGATTCAACAAAGCCCAACCTCCTAAACGCTTTGGGTATGATGGACATGGGCCCGCAGGATACACCGCACCCCTAAAATCACAAAGTCCAGAGACCAACAACTTCTACACTTACTTTTCCGCATACTTCAACTCTTTGAACATTGAATTGGAACACTCCCATGACTGCAGCTTCATTCCTAGCTCGTACAAAGCAAGAGCGACCAAGGACCCAGACGTTTTCACTTACAATGAAGCGGTCAACAGTCCCAACAGCGAAAAGTGGACTGCAGCAGCAAAGAAAGAAATTGAAGAACTTGAAGGAAAGCTCACCTGGATTGAAGTCCCAATGTTGAAAGCAAAGACCAAGATCATTCCTGGAACTTGGGTCTTTCGTGTCAAGAGAAATCCAAGCGGAGAAATGACCAAATTTAAGGCAAGATACGGTGTGAGAGGAGACCTGGAAGAAATGGATGTTGACAAAAACACGTTTGCACCTACCGTTGCATGGGGTACTGTCCGTCTGTTTCTTGTCCTTTGCTTGATCCTTGGATGGGCCTCCGTCTCAGTTGACTTCAGTAATGCATTCATACAATCCAAACTGGACAAACCAAAATGGGTACACTTACCTCAAGGATTCGTCTCTCCAAAGGGCAAAGGAACATGCCTTCAACTCAACAAGTCACTATATGGGACCAAAGCTGCTCCCGCCCTATGGAATAAGACCGCCATGGAAGGATTCACAAAGTGTGGATTCAAACAATCCGATTTTGATCCGTGTCTTTTGTACAAGAAAGGCTTGATGGTGGTTCTGTATGTTGATGACGCTGGAATTGGTGCCAAGGATCCAGCAGACATCGACAAGCTCATTGAGGAACTCAGAGAACTCAAATTTGAACTAAAGAAAGAAGGCGATTTCAATGAGTTTCTTGGCATAAAATTTGACAAACGCAAAGATGGTTCAGTCAAACTTACTCAGACTGGTTTGATTGACAAGGTTTTGGAAGCAGCAGGAATGACCGATTGCAATCCCAGTTGAATCCCCGCTACCGGTCCCCTTGGCAAAGATCCTGATGGTGAACCTATGAACAAAGCATGGAACTATCGATCAATCGTTGGAATGGTAATGTACCTCTCGACAAACACACGACCAGACATTACCTTTGCTGTCAGGCAAGTCCAAAGCAATCCCATGCAACCGCTGTGAAAACAATTCTTGAAACGCACTCGCACAAAAGGCATAATCATCAAGCCTACAGGAAGACTGAACCTTGAATTGTTTGTTGATGCCGACTTCTGTGGACTCTACAATACCGAACCTCACACTGATCCAAACTCCATTTGATCACGCACCGGGTTTATTGTAAAGTTGAGCAATTGCTCGCTGATTTGGCGCTCCCAGCTTCAAACATCCATCACTTGCTCCACGCTCAAGGCCGAATACAATGTTCTCTCTTCTGCTCTAAAGACTTTAATTCCATTGAAGCGCCTCCTCATCGAAGCCACCGACCACTTTGAACTTGACGACGGCATCCGTGCCACCATCCGGGCTTCAGCATTTGAAGACAACCAAGGAGTATACTTTCTGGCCACCAACCAAAGAATCACATCTCGCACTCGATGGTATCTCAACAAGTGGCACTGGTTCTGGCAACACGTCACCAGAGACGGCGTTGGCCCAGAAACCGTTGCCATCCACGAGTTGGACACATCACTCCAAGATGCTGATTACTTCACAAAGGCACAGTCTTGTGAACCTTTCCAGAGCAATTGCTTTCGTGTGCAAGGGTGGTAACACCTCTGCACAACCACCCTAACCCTTGTACATTTGCATCGAGCAGAGAGACGTAGACAACTCCGGTTGTTGAACTCGCCTGCTCACCAGTGAGATGCAACATCTTTACAGATCTATTTGTTTCGCAAATTCCAGTGATGACGTTTTGTGTTGAAGTTTCGGATGAGAGGGAGAGTCGAAAGTCGTCTGTTTGTTCATCAGATGATAGCTGTTACGGCTGCACCCACGGCTAAGATATCCAAAGTATCTTATACAGGTATCAAGATTCCCAATCTTGACTACAATGCTCCTTCGCTAAGCTTCGCCACATTCTCAATGTTGTTCAGACTAAGCATCGCTATTGCATGCGTTGAGATGGTCGGAGTTTCATCCTGTTTACATCCTTCACAATAAAATCACTATAATTTTCAGAATACTCTTTTATCACACATTTTCGGACATTTTACAACTAATTCTGTCAAAGACAGACTAACCAATAGATGTCCCAATTGACACTGGTAGGCATGGTAGTATCGGTTCATGTTGGAAGGGGTTTGGGGCATGAATTGAATCTGGCGCCCAACGGAGTATTTCACAGTCTTCATTGCACCAATAATACCGCCGCAGTCTATACCACCATTCGGCTCCTGCTATCCCGAGCAGAACGCGCATAATAGTCAATGAGAAATTACAGTACAAGTTATTTGATCACATCAAATTTTAAAAAAGAACACGTTACATCCGGTCGAAGGCCGTACGCGGCATTTGATCTTCTACGATAGCTACCGATACACTACAGCTTAACGTGACAACGTTGTGCTCCTGACTCTCATTGTGGAGAGAGCGTACTAGTGCATTGATGTAGCTACTGTTGGACATGATAGACGGTGATTGATATTGAAGGTAGCCGAAGAAAAATCGCCATCTAACCCAATTGCAAATCGGGCTGCAGGATTCTCTCTGACTGTTGGGATATGACGAAATATGAGTTTTTACGTTCCAAAAGAAACTATTCAAGTACAAGGTTTTCGACACGTGCGATCGGACTTTGATCGTGCGTGATGTCGGGATTCGACGCAAGTATGCCGGACGCAAGTCTGTCGGACAATCT